AACTTGTCAAACAGGCCACTGCAACGCATCAGTCCTGCAGTGACTCATCGCCTACATGCGCTGGCGACCTGTTTACCTGTGTCCATGACTTGGCTGTAAACGCAAAAACTAGAATGCCATAATATTAAGCAAATTAAGGTAGTTATGTTGACCACCGTGAGCCGGGAGCTGCGAGCGGGCGGGTGTGATGTAACCGCCGCCATGATGACGGGGAGGGACAGTGTCAGTCAGATTCACTAAGCAGTTACGCAAGTACTTACGAACGTGTACATCTTTCCTCAATCTTCGACGGCTTTGGTTACATTTATTAAACAGTTTACAAGCATGAAAACTTCCCAATCAACTGTTGTTATTGTTATAAACAGCTTCCTGGTGCTTCGGAGCTCATTAACTGTTTAAGAATTGTAAACAAAGCCGCCAAAGATTTAGAAAAGATGTACAGGTTCGTAAGTGTTTGCGTAAGTGCTTTTGTGAATCTGGCCCCCAGATACGCAAGTACTTACGAACCTGCACATCTTTCATCAATCTTTGATGGCTTTGGTTACATTTATTAAACAGTTTACAAGCGTGAAAACTTCCCAATCAACTGTTGTTATTGTTATAAACAGCCTCCTGGTGCTTCGGAGCTCATTAACTGTTTAATAATTGTAAACAAAGCCGCCAAAGATTGAGAAAAGATGTACAGGTTCGTAAGTGTTTGCGTAAGTGCTTTTGTGAATCTGGCCCCAGATACACAAGTACTTACGAACGTGTACATCTTTCCTCAATCTTTGGTTACATTTATTAAACAGTTTACAAGCATGAAAACTTCCCAATCAACTGTTGTTATTGTTATAAACAGCTTCCTGGTGCTTCGGAGCTCATTAACTGTTTAATAATTGTAAACAAAGTCGCCAAAGATTTAGAAAAGATGTACAGGTTCGAGTCCCAACACAATATGGTGACGGACCAGCGTCCACAGGATGTCACGGGTTAACAACCCCTGCCTTTATCCACAGATGAATGGGCAATATATCTGCGTCGTTCTGATGGATTTGTTTACCTGCATATATGTATGGATATATTTTATACGTCGGGGGTATTATACCCGACTCCTTGGTGGATGCCTGTGATGAGGAATAATGCCTTTCACGGCGGGGATATTATCTGCACCCCAGACTTACTAAAGTGAGTCCAGGCCCACCCCAGACTTACAAAAGTGAGTCCAGGCCCACCCCAGACTTACTAAAGTGAGTCCAGGCCCACCCCAGACTTATTAAAGTTACCCCAGGCCCACCCCAGACGTACAAACGTGAGTCCAGGGCCATCCCAGCCTAACTAAAGTGACCCCAGGGCCATCCCAGCCTAACTAAAGTGTCCCCAGGGCCATCCCAGCGTAATTAAAGTGACCCCAGACGCACCCCAGCCTAACTAAAGTGACCCCAGACCCCAAGGGAGCAATATGGAGTCCGTAGCACAGTATGCGGTATATATTGATTGTCTGGCAAATGTCAGAAGTGACGATTGGGCTCACAGATGCTGCATTTTTCGGCTTGTAGTGTGTAGTTCCTAGTGTAGTGAGTGTACTGCTAGCACTTATGCCACTGTTTAAGTGGAAAATACCTCTTCTTGGTGATTTCGTGAGGTGTGGATGAGATGCCGAAATATCTTGAATCTGTTCTCAAGAGCTTAGGTAGCTTTAGCCGGAGAGTTGAATGTTAAAATTCATAGTCGGGCTGTCCCTCTGTAGGGCTCGCTTGCTAGCTCTCCCTCTGTAGGGCTCGCTTGCTAGCTCTCCCTCTGTAGGGCTTGCTTGCTAGCTCTCCCTCTGTAGGGCTCGCTTGCTAGCTCTCCCTCTGTAGGGCTCGCTTGCTAGCTCTTCCTCTGTAGGGCTTGCTTGCTAGCTCTCCCTCTGTAGGACTCGCTTGCTGTCCCTCTGTAGGGCTCGCTTGCTGTCCGTCTGTAGGGCTCGCTTGCTGTCCCTCTGTAGGGCTCGCTTGCTAGCTCTCCCTCTGTAGAGCTCGCTTGTTGTCCCTCTGTAGGGCTCGCTTGCTAGCTCTCCCACTGTAGCGCTCGCTTGCTAGCTCTTCCTCTGTAGGGCTCGCTAGCTCTCCCTCTGTAGGGCTCGCTTGCTAGCTCTCCCTCTGTAGGGCTCGCTTGCTAGCTCTTCCACTGTAGCGCTCGCTTGCTAGCTCTTCCTCTGTAGGGCTCGCTTGCTAGCTCTCCCTCTGTAGGACTCGCTTGCTAGCTCTTCCTCTGTAGGGCTCGCTTGCTAGCTCTTCCTCTGTAGGGCTCGCTTGCTAGCTCTTCCTCTGTAGGACTCGCTTGCTAGCTCTTCCTCTGTAGGGCTCGCTTGCTAGCTCTCCAATCTTGCGGCGCTATTAACCCTGTTTTGTCCTCCCTTCTCGTCACCAGAACTTTTTCACCACAATGGCACCACTGTGGCACCACTGTGGCACCAATGTGGCACCACTGTGGCTCCACTGTGGTGGCTCCTGTGCCTGGGAACTATCAGGGCTAAGCTTAACGCGAGTTACGGATGGAAAGCTGTCAGAAGTCGTCTACCCCTCCCTCCCTCCCCCCCCCTCCCCCACACTCACACAAAAATATAAAGTGAGAAATTAAAGGTAGATGTAATGAACAGACAATGGGGGGGGGGTGCGGGTAGATGAGGGCATGTAGGTAGATTACGGTATATGAGTAGATGATGCTGTGTGTGTGTGAGTAGATGAAGTTGTTTGGGTAGATGAATGTAGTGTAATCTTATCAGCGAGTCTTTACTGTTATCTATTGTAGTGTGCCCAGCCCTGACTCCTGTTAGTTAGTCCAGGTACCCACACTACACCCCAGAGACCCCCAGCAACACTCCAGGTACCCACACTACACCCCAGAGACCCCCAGCAACACTCCAGGTACCCACACTACACCCCAGAGACCCCCAGCAACACTCCAGGTACCCACACTACACCCCAGAGACCCCCAGCAACACTCCAGGTACCCACACCACACCCCAGAGATCCCCAGCAACACTCCAGGTACCCACACCACACCCCAGAGACCCCCAGCAACACTCCAGGTACCCACACTACACCCCAGAGACCCCCAGCAACACTCCAGGTACCCACACCACACCCCAGAGACCCCCAGCAACACTCCAGGTACCCACACTACACCCCAGAGACCCCCAGCAACACTCCAGGTACCCACACTACACCCCAGAGACCCCCAGCAACACTCCAGGTACCCACACCACACCCCAGAGACCCCCAGCAACACTCCAGGTACCCACAGTACACCCCAGAGACCCCCAGCAACACTCCAGGTACCCACAGTACACCCCAGAGACCCCCAGCAACACTCCAGGTACCCACACTACACCCCAGAGACCCCCAGCAACACTCCAGGTACCCACACCACACCCCAGAGACCCCCAGCAACACTCCAGGTACCCACACTACACCCAGAGACCCCCAGCAACACTCCAGGTACCCATACTACACCCCAGAGACCCCCAGCAACACTCCAGGTACCCACACTACACCCCAGAGACCCCAGCAACACTCCAGGTACCCACACTACACCCCAGACACCCCCAGCAACACTCCAGGTACCCACACTACACCCCAGACACCCCCAGCAACACTCCAGGTACCCACACTACACCCCAGACACCCCCAGCAACACTCCAGGTACCCACACTACACCCCAGCAACACTTCAGGTACCCACACTACACCCCAGAGACCCCCAGCAACACTCCAGGTACCCACACTACACCCCAGACACCCCAGCAACACTCCAGGTACCCACACTACACCCCAGACACCCCCAGCAACACTCCAGGTACCCACACTACACCCCAGCAACACTCCAGGTACCCACACTACACCCCAGCAACACTCCAGGTACCCACACTACACCCCAGCAACACTCCAGGTACCCACACTACACCCCAGACACCCCAGCAACACTCCAGGTACCCACACTACACCCCAGACACCCCAGCAACACTCCAGGTACCCACACTACACCCCAGACACCCCCAGCAACACTCCAGGTACCCACACTACACCCCAGACACCCCCAGCAACACTTCAGGTACACATACAACACCCCACACACCCCAGCATCACTCCAGGTACCCACACAACACCCCAGCAACACTCCAGGTACCCACACTACACCCCAGCAACCCTCCAGGTACCCACACTACACCCCAGCAACACTCCAGGTACCCACACTACACCCCAGCAACACTCCAGATACCCACACTACACCCCAGCATCACTCCAGGTACCCACACTACACCCCAGCAACACTCCAGGTACCCACACTACACCCCAGACACCCACACTACACCCCAGCAACACTCCAGGTACCCACACTACACCCCAGACACCCCAGCATCACTCCAGGTACCCACACAACACCCCAGACACCCCAGCATCACTCCAGGTACCCACACAACACCCCAGACACCCCAGCATCACTCCAGGTACCCACACAACACCCCCCAGCATCACTCCAGGTACCCACACAACACCCCAGCATCACTCCAGGTACCCACACTACACCCCAGACACCCCAGCATCACTCCAGGTACCCACACTACATCCCAGCAACACTCCAGGTACCCACACAACACCCCAGCATCACTCCAGGTACCCACACTACACCCCAGACACCCCAGCATCACTCCAGGTACCCACACAACACCCCAGACACCCCAGCATCACTCCAGGTACCCACACAACACCCCAGCATCACTCCAGGTACCCACACTACACCCCAGACACCCCAGCATCACTCCAGGTACCCACACTACATCCCAGCAACACTCCAGGTACCCACACTACACCCCAGACACCCCAGCAACACTCCAGGTACCCACACTACACCCCAGAGACCCCAGCAACACTCCAGGTACCCACAATACACACCAAACTCTTCCCATTTGTCTCCGCCTCCAACGGGGATCGAACTCGGAGCCTCAGGACTACCAATCCGAAGCGCTGACCACTCAGCTGTCAGGCCATAAGATAAGTGGGTTAGTTGCTTAATATTTCTGGTAGAAATGTTGGCCCCACATCACCGGCAGCTTATCTCTGAAAAACTAGCCGTCAGTGTCTCTAACTTCGTGATAAATCTGTAGATAACTGTACCACGCACTCAGGTATGAGAGGGATTGTGATAATGATTATTATAATCATTATAAAAGCAACAGCTGGGACGATTGACGTATTACGGGTTATTCATGCCCGTGCCACCTCTTGGGTGGCTTCATTTTCATCAATCAACTAATCGATTGACGTACTCGTGATGACAAAGCAGGTTGACAACATGTCAACCACACTACACCCCCAGATACCCCATCATCACTCCAGGTACCCACACTTCACCCCAGGAACCCTGGGGTGGTTGACAAGAGGTTGACAACATGTCAACCTCAACAAGGGTGTTGTCTCAGCACCTTTGTACCCAACCTTCACTCCAACTACCCCCATGCTACACTCCAAGTACACTTGTAACAGAAGAATCAGTTCAGGATTCTGGGCATGACAGCCCACTAATCAGGAGGAACAATGAGGGGATACGATCATGGTCTCCCTGCTACTGACACTCCTGCTATACGCTCTGCTTCATTCCCTCTACACCAGATGAATGAAGGTTGAGAGGTGGGGCCAAAGAGCCAAATCCCAACCCCCTTCAGTTTTTGCCTTGTTTAGTCCCGCCTCTCAGCCTTCGATCAGCTGGTGTACAACTTCCTGAGCTTATTGGGCTTTATTTTTATCTATTTTTTTAATCTTTCCCCTGAGAATGTTGTTTGCAGTATTCACCTAGTTGTGCTTGTGGGGGTTGAGTTTTGCTCTTTCGGCCCGCCTCTCAACTATCAATCAACTGTTACTAACTACTTTTTTTCCACACCACATACACACCCCAGGAAGCAGCCCGTGACAGCTGACTAACTCCCAGGTAACTATTTACTGCTAGGTAACAGGGATCAAGGGTGTTGTTACTGCTAGGTAACAGGGGCATCAGGGTGAAAGAAACTCTGCCCATTGTTTCTCGCCGGCGCCGGGAATCGAACCCGGGACCACAGGATCACGCGTCCAGCGTGCTGTTCAGTCAGCCACCGGCCCTGTAATGATCATGTCTCCATGTTCCTTCTCTGCTCCATGGACCTGGGGTTACCAGTAGCCTTTCCTTCTAACTCGTACCTCTGAACTTCAGGACTAGCCTGGTGGCACACCTCTGATCTTTTTCTAATTTCGTTGTGTGTTTGGCTAGATATAGACTCCACGTTGCAGCCGCATACTCCAGGATGGGTCTGACGTATGTGGAAAACAAGGGTTTGAACGATTGTTTATACAAGTTTCTAAAGGCATTTTTGTTTTTCGTTGGCCAACCTTACATGTGCCGCTGATGATATCGTTTTGATGTGGGCTTGAGGAGGAAGGTGGCGTGTGAGGTCCACTGCCAGACCTCTCGCTGCCCGGGGCTTGAAGGATTACAGTTACCACTTGGTACCCTGTGTCATTACTGCCAAGTGTGATCCCACGGAGATTAATGATGGAATAATGGTTAGAATTATTATCACTTCGGGATAACTGTCTTCTTATAGCTTTATTAAAGTATTCAACATATTATTTATGTTTGTCCCCATCGCATGTAGACTGGGTGAAGTTGAGGGGGTGAAGTGAGGTGAGGTGAGGTGAGGTGTGGCGTGACAAGGTGAGGTGAGGTGAGGTGGTGAGGTGAAGTGAGGTGAGGGATGGGTGAGGTCTTCACTAAAACATTTGTGCCACCCCCCCCCCCCCCCCCCCCCCACCACCACCCCTGTTTCTGTCCCGGACCGAGAGACAAGTCCACCTTAGAAATGTTTCACTCGCGTGGCGGCCACGCCCAGTGGGGTGGAGGCCACGCCCAGTGGAGTGAAAGCCACGCCCATGGGAGGGAAATGGTCACACTCAGGGTAGGACTCCAACTGTCTCAATCCAGGCTCGTTAAAGCTGCGGCCGTCACCCTTTCCCCCCCGATCAAGACACATTCATCAATTTGAACATACTGTGTTTACTCTCACAGTACGGGGACACAGCACAAGAAAAATAGGTTTGCTCTCACTTATATATTATTATATGTTAAAGTTCGATATATAGTTAGGTCTAGGTTATGACAAAATCCTTAGGAGCCGTGATGAGGAATCGAACTTATGCACTGAGTATTCCCAGGCACACGCTTTAGACAACTAGGCCAACGACATGGTTAAAAGGAATGAAACCTGGAGTTCTACTGAATCCACGAGGGTTCCTGAGGCTTCAATGGTTGGATAGAAGTCGAATCTTGGTTTTAGACAATTTCCCCCATACACTCTGGCTCTGTCGTCTAGGAATGTTAATGCTCCTTAAATTCTAACGCTCCTCTGTCAATACACACAAATAAATCACACTACCTGGGGTTCTAGGGAGGTTTTCTACTCCTCAAGCCCGGCCCCAGGCCAGGCTTGACTTGTGAGAGCTTGGTCCAACAGGCTTGTCTTACATTAACAGTAACAGTAACAGACAGTGTTACTGTAGACGTTATGAGACGTCTTGGAGCCTTGTTTACGTCTGGTGACGAGAGCCTGTGACGTGTGGGAGCGTTGCGTGGCCGGCCTGGTTTGTCAGGTGTCATGCTTGTTGTTGTTATTGTATGATAAAGGTGATTATAGAGGAGTATTGTGTTGCAGGATGGTCAACCTGGCGCAGGACCCGGCCTTCAACATCGTCCCCAAGAACTCCACATGTTTCATTATCTGGCGGGTGGAGGTGAGTATGTTTCTCTCCCCCACGACTCCTGACCCCTCCCCCACGTCTCTTGACCCCTCCTGACCCCTCCCCCACGTCTCTTGACCCCTTCCCACGCCTCCTGACCCCTTCCCATACCATCCTCCGCCTCATTGATCCATTCCCCACCCCTCCCCAACGCCTACCTCCCCCTTCCATGCCTCCTGTTCCCTATCCCAACTGCTCCTGACCTCTACCCCTCCCCCCTCCCCCCCACTCCTACAGCACCGCACCTAGACTAGTTACCATGAAGCGCTTCTAAGCGTTGTTAGCAGTCTGAAGGTTAACCTCGCTCTAATCTAATTTACTAATTACCATTCAAGCGCTTTGCATGACCTTTGACCTGTTGCAGGACCTGGAGCTGGTGCCGCTCAAACGTGACGACTATGGCAAGTTTCACAAGGGCGACTCCTACGTCATCCTCTCAGCCTCGGAGCACGGCAAACCTGCCGGTATGGATGACATGGTAAGTCAACCCCCCCCCCCCCTGGTGAATAACCCCCCCCCTAGGTGGTGACCATAACCCCCCCCCCTAGGTAAGTCAATAACCCCTATCAGGTGAGTCAGGCAGTGCCTAGCCCGGGGGTGACCTTCCTCCTGTAAAGTATGTGGCTGGGACAAAAGCCAAGTCCCCCCTTTGAAACAATCAAAGAAAACTACCCCATAAGCCTCGTCTCCAACAACCTATTCTCACTCCCTATGATACTGTAAATCCCGCCCTTGACAAGCCTAGTGAACTGTATCACAAAGAATAAATGAGCTCATAGCAGTTCTTGATGCTAGAACGAACTATACCTATTATTGCTGGGCATGAGGCTGAGCCTAGCATCAGAGTAGCGCACAATGTTCTCCCAACCTATTACCCCCCATTCGTGTTCTAAAATGTTCTTCAAGATGTTATAATATTCATAAAATGTGATAGCGTCTATGTGTTTACTGTGTTGGTGTGTGTTGCAGCCGCACCCGCCGCGCGGAGGGCTGGACGTGCATATCCACTTCTGGCTGGGGTCGGCGACCAGCACAGACGAGGCGGGCGTGGCGGCCATGAAGACCGTGGAGCTGGACAACCTGCTGGGCGGCGGACCCGTCCAACACCGCGAGACTGAGGGCAGCGAGAGCAAGAGGATGCTCTCCTACTTCAAGAACGAGAATGTACTTTGAAACTATCACATAGGGAATCATATCATAAAGGAACCTGGTGAAACTGCAAGCAAGAGCTGTAATCCTGCCTCAGCTCAGTTGAAACCTACTCCTAGAGGCCCATTTATTTCATGAGCCTGTTATATGCATCAGTAGGAATAGCCTTTATTCATTAACAACATTAGGTAACAATCATATAAGGAACAGGATGAGCCTGTAGCCAACTGTGTGCCAGAGCCTTCATGTGATCAGTTGACCTGATCTCCCGTGTATCAACCTGTTGAGCGAACAAGTTCCAGATGCGAGTCAGCCTAGGAATGAATGATCGCTGATGGAGTGATGTTCTTGAGAAAGGCACTTCCAGCATGAGACTATTGAAGGTTGAGAGCCTAGTGCTACGGGTGGCAACTACTGGTAGTCCACGGAGTTGGGCCAGGTGCGGAACTTTGAGGATGTTGGCCTTGTACATAACAGTAAGACCACCAACGTCCCGACGGTGTTGCAGGCTCTGATGTTCAGACCGTTCCCACCAGACTTGGTCAAGACTAGAGATGAGCCTTCTTGCCCGTCTCTCCACTTTGTCCAACAGTCTGATGAATGATGGAGGGGGGGGGGGGGCAGGCGATCCAGGAAAGGGGTGCATACTCTAGATGAGAGCGAACTTGTGCTTCATATAAGGTTTTGCAGCCCTTGCTGTCAAGAAGGTGTGAGATGCGCCGTAGAGCTGTAAGTTTCCTGGCTGCCTTTTGAGCTAGGTTAAGCACGTGGCTCTTCATTGTCATTGAAGAGTCGAACTTCATTCCCAAGATGTCAATTTCATCTGTGAACTCTAGGGTTTTGCCACCCATTTGCAAGCCTGTCCGATTTGCCATGTGCAGTCTAGTTATCATCATCGCTTGTGTCTTCTCAGCTGCAAATGTGACCTGCCATCTCCTACCCCAGGTAGAAATCGCTGAAAGTTGGTGATTGATGAGTCTTGCAGCAGTTGGCATTTAGAGATCAATTCTCTACTCCATCAATGGAAATTATGACACCACCCCTGTAGCTGGCTTCAGGCAGTAGAGTTAGTCATGTATGAGGTAGTTTCAGGTAGTTTCAGGCACTGGAGTAATGCGCACTGGTCGCCAGGGGAGAACCAGGGAATATATTGAGTGTGAGGCGAGTGTGGAATGTGCTCCATCAATCAATACATATTTTAATGCTTGCAAACACAGACATGGAACCTTGCCCTGCCTCACCCTCGCCCTGCCTCACACCCTCCACCTGCCTCACACCCTCCCCCTGCCTCACAGCCTCTCTCACAATGTGATATCTTGTTAAGATAACAGGTGTACCACAGCTGTGCTAACACTTGTTATATAAACACCTGTACCCAGAGTGTCTGTCTATTTGTCCAATGTAGGAGGCCAGACGCTTGGGGCTAGTCTCGCCCAACTTTCCAAGATGACACATGCGGGGTATGTAAGTGTCATAGGCTAGTCTGGGTCGGCCCTGTGCCACACTTTAAGAAATATCAGCAACTATAGCTACCCCCATGCAATTTTCACGAAGTCTAAAATCAGAGATATGGTTTTATGAAGCTCTGATAGTTTTTTAATGCTCTGTAGTATTACATTTTCTAAGAGAGGGAAAGAGAGGAGAATACTTTTGCAGTTTCCTTCTTCCCAGCGCCATGCTGGATAAGAAGGAATGTAAGATAGGGAAGAGAAAGATGGAAAGGGTGGGAGAGAGGATGGAGAAGGAAGAAGGGGGAAATGGGGTGAGGTGGGGATTTAAGGGAAGAAAGAGGGGGAGGCGAGACTTGGAGATGGGAGGGAGGAGCAAGTATTCTTATTCTCAAACTAGTATTCAATAAGAAGCTTAACATAATCTCTTAAACCAGTCGTTCTAAACGTTTTCTGAAGGGGATAACTGATGTCATATTAAGCTGCGCCAGCAGCTTAATATGACATCTTCACAAGCACGCACTTCAAAAGTGGTATACATATGCCCCAATTTGCGCTGGGTAGAAGGTCCCCCTTATTGGGACCTCTTGGGACTTTTTGGGGCCTCTTGGGACTTCTTGGGATCTCTTGGAACTTCTTGGGACCTCTTGGAATCTCTTGGGACCTCTTGGAACCTAATGATTCAGATTCAGATTCAGATTCAGATGTTTATTCAGGTAAGGTATATACATACAAGTGATGTTACATTAATGGATTGATATATAGATAGAGCTAGTACATACAATGCCTAAAGCCACTATTACGCAATGCGTTTCGGGCAAGAAAAAACATTAATATCTAGAACTTAATACTAATTGAGCATAAAGAATAAAAGATGTTGAGAACAAATACAAATAAAGATAAAAAAAAAGGGGGAACATGACTGAAAAAGCAGCACAAATACAATAGGTTGACAAACAGTGTTGATTACAAAAAAGAAAAAAAAAAAGAAAATAACAGACATGGGTTGACAATAGAGGAGTGAGGTAGATTACAGGGAATTTATTAGGTAGTGTTTAGTTTTTATCTTAAACTGGTTGAGAGAGGTACAGTCTTTAACATGGTTGGGAAGGTCATTCCACATTCTGGGCCCCTTGATTTGCAGAGCATTTCTAGTTTGATTAAGACGTACTCTAGGAATATCAAAACTGTATTTATTTCTGGTGTGGTGCTCATGGGTTCTGTTACAACCTTCTATGAAGCTTTTAAGATCAGGATTGGCATTATAGTTTAGCGTTTTATATATGTATAATACACATGAGAGAATGTGCAGTGACTTAATATCTAACATATTAAGAGATTTGAGTAGGGGTACCGAGTGATGTCTGGGGCCAGAGTTGGATATTGTTCTAATAGCGGCTTTGTGTTGGGTAATTAGAGGACGTAAGTGATTTTGGGTAGTAGAACCCCAAGCACAAATACCATAGTTGAGATAAGGATAGATAAGGGAGTAATAGAGAGTCACCAGAGCAGGGCGTGGTACATAATATCTGATCTTAGAAAGAATGCCCACAGTTTTTGAAACTTTTTTGATATATTTAGAATGTGTCCCTGGAAATTCAGCTTGTGGTCAATGAGAATGCCAAGGAATTTGCCATCTAATTTGTTACAAATTTGGGTATTGTTTATTTGAGATTTATAAGACTAGAGGATTTATTGCCAAACAGAATATAGAAGGTTTTGTCAATGTTAAGGGTGAGTTTGTTGGCAGTTAGCCAAAGATGGACTTTATTTAGCTCAGTATTTACTGTGGCATTTAGAGCAAGAGGGTCAGGACTGGAGTAAATGAAGGTTGTGTCGTCAGCAAATAGAATTGGTTTGAGGTGTTGGGAGGCATTTGGAAGGTCATTAATGTAGATGAGAAAGAGGAGAGGGCCAAGTATGCTGCCCTGAGGAACACCAATGTTGATGGGTAGGGTGGGAGAAATTGTATTATTCACAGAAACATATTGGAGCCTGTCAGTAAGGTAGGACTCGAGGTATTGTAGGGAGTGTCCTCTGACTCCATAATGATGTAGTTTAAGAAGAAGGTTTTGGTGGTTGACAGTATCAAAAGCTTTACGCAGGTCCACAAATAACCCAACAGGGAGCTCCTTTTATCAAGAGCTGTATGAATCGAGTTAAGCATACTAATAAGTGCATCGTTAGTGCTTTTTTTGGGTCTGAAGCCATATTGGCAAGGGCTAAGTATATTGAGTTTGGCTAGATATGAGTAAAGCTGCTTGTATATAAGTTTTTCAAAAATTTTTGACAAGTTTGGCAGGATTGATATAGGTCTGTAGTTGTTAACATCTGTGGGGTCACCACATTTGTGGACAGGCGTTACTCTCGCTTTTTTTAGAATATCTGGAAAGGTTTGGAGTTCAAGTGACTTGTTGAAGAGCAAAGCAATAGCAGGGGCTAAAGATCTGGAGGCTTTTTTGTAAATTAAAGTTGGTATCTCCTCAAGGGCACCAGACTTGGTTTTAAGGGAAAGGATTATCTCATTGACGTCAGTGGAGTTAATAGGCTTTAGGTACAGAGACTGTGGATAGTTACCTGTAAGATAGTCCTTAATGTCAGTACTGGAAGATGGAATATCATTTGCAAGGGATGAACCAATGGAAGAGAAGAACCTATTGAACTCAATAGCAGAATCAGAGGGACCTCTTGGGATCTCTTGGGACCTCTTGGGACCTCTTGGAACCTCTTGGGACTTCTTGGGACTTCTTAGGACCTCTTGGAACCTCTTGGGATCTCTTGGAAACTCTTGGGATCTCTTGGAACCTCTTGGGACCTCTTGGGACCTCTTGGAACCTCTTGAGACTTCTTGAGATCTCTTGGGACCTCTTGGGATCTCTTGGGACCTCTTGGAACCTCTTAGAAGGCCTTGTGAGGAAGTCTTTCTTAGATATCAGTAAATAAGTTCTTTGTGGTGGACAGGGAATGAGGAATGGAGAAGGATTGTTTAATTGTGATGGACAGGGAGTGACTGAACCTTGTGTGATGGACAGAGTGCTGGAGGGAGGAGTGGCCTCCGGCTTCAGGAAGGTGACGGACGACTTCGAGCCTTCTCTCTACCACGTCAAGGGCAAGAGGACCACTGTCGTCAGGGAACTGCCAAAGGTGAACCCCTGCACTCTTTCGCGTTGTTTGTTCCACACACACACACACAGAGGGGCGTTAGAAAGAACTTTTTCAGTGTTAGAGAAAGAACTTTTTCAGTGTTAGAGAAAGAACTTTTTCAGTGTTAGAGAAATAACTTTTTCAGTGTCAGAGTAGTTAGCAGATGGAATGTATTAAGCAGTGATGTGGTGGAGGCGTTAGAAAGAACTTTTTCAGTGTCAGAGAAAGAACTTTTTCAGTGTCAGAAAAAGAACTTTTTCAGTGTCAGAGTAGTTAACAGATGGAATGTATTAAGCAGTGATGTGGTGGACGGAGACTCAATACACAATTTCAAATGTATATGTAGGAATGTAGGAATGAAACCCTGTTCTTAAATGTTGATCAAAACCCTGTTCTTAAATGCAAATCCTGCTCTGAAACTCTCCCTGGACAGATGTAATAGGACCCATTATCACCACACCAGAAATAAATATCTCTTTGATATCCCCCAGAATCAAACTTAATCTGTGTAAACACTCTATGCAAATAAAGGGACCCAGTCTATGGAACTCACTCCCTAACGAATTGAAAAGCCTCATTCAAAAAGCCTCAACTTTTGCCTCATTCAAAAAGCCTCAACTTTTGCCTCATTCAAAAACCAAACCAAAAAGTGCCTAACTTAATCTTCATAGTTTCTTACCTAATCCTTTAAACTCACACTGTATCTAGTGCTACCCAATCCCCCAATATATGTACCTAAGCCATACAACTTTACCATTGTGATTATTGATATCATCTTATATGTGCTATCATATGCTTTATTATGCCTGTTAATCTTTGTCAAATTATCAATCAAGTTATCAATGCTATCACTCAGAGTTATCATTGTGCTTTATTATACCTACTAATCTCTCTCAATTTTTTCTTACAATGTACCTGTTAAGAATTTACCTACTTATTAATATTATCTGTTAGATTAAGGACCTGCCCGAAACGCTGCGCGTACTAGTGACTTTACAAGATTGTAAATACTATGCTATGTATTCTCACAAACCCAATGTACCTTCTTGTATATAAATAAATAAATAAATAAATAAATAAATATGATAGAGCCCAGTAGGCCCAAGAATCTGTACACCAGTTGATTGACAGTTGGGAGGCAGGACCAAAGAGCTGGAGCTCAACCCCCGCAAGCACAACTAAGTGAGTACACACAGGGACTCCGAGGTCGTAATTCTAAGGGCCCGGGTTCGATTCCCGGCCGAGGGAGAAACAAATATGTAATTTTTTTCCACCTGACGCCCGTAACAGTAAATAGGTACCAGGGAGTTAGACAGCTGCTACGGGCTGCTTCCTGGGGATGGATGAGTGTGTGTGTGTACTCACCTAGTTGCCCTTGCCAGGGATTGAGCTCCGGCTCTTTGGGCCCGCCTCTTTGGACCCGCCTCTTCTTTGGGCTTTGAGAGGCGGGCCCAAAGAGCCAGAGAGGCGGGCCCAAAGAGCCAGAGAGGCGGGCCCAAAGAGCCAGAGCTCATGAACAGATGTGATATATCACACCTGACAGTCTCGTAGACCTGACCGCCAATAGAACTCATAATTTACACCTGACCCTTATCTTTTGCACGCGAACTCAGCCTCATTTGACCCCCGCCCCAAGTGGTCACGTGACACAACTTGCCAGAAGTCAATACAGACTGTATTAGGGAGGTGGTGATGGTGTCACCGCAGGTGTGAGAGGCTGGGGGCATGATAGTGAGAGAGTACAGTGATGGTGTCACCGCAGGTGTCGTGGAGCGAGATGAACGACGGAGACGTCTACGTCTTGGACACCAAGGAGATCATCTACGTCTGGACGGGACGCAACAGCAACAACATGGAGAAGCTCCAAGGTGCCAAGGTGGGTCCTGGGTGCCAGGGCGGGTCCTGGGTGCCAGGGTGGGTCCTGGGTGCCAGGGTGGGTCCTGGGTGCCAAGGTGGGTCCTGGGTGCCAGGGTGGGTCCTGGGTGCCAGGGTGGGTCCTGGGTGCCAGGGTGGGTCCTGGGTGCCAGGGTGGGTCCTGGGTGCCAAGGTGGGTCCTGGGTGCCAGGGTGGGTCCTGGGTGCCAGGGTGGGTCCTGGGTGCCAAGGTGGGTCCTGGGTGCCAGAGTGCCAGATAACCCTAAGGCAGTACAAGATTAATCTCTCTCTCCTGTGAACAGTTCGCCTTGACGCTGAAGGAGGAGCACGGGCTGGGTCAGGTGGTGGTGGTCGAGGACGGACTCGAGAGCGCCCTCCAGGACAAGGAGAGGAACGTCTTCGAGAAGCACCTCGCCCTCAACAAGAAGCAGATCCTCCCAGCCTCAGAAGCCCCCAAGGACGAGACCGTGGTAGGTACAGCACTCCTCTACTGTTCGTATCTCACGTACTTGTCTCACGTTCGAATCCCGTTCGATACAGGACCGAGGACAGGAGGTGCTTCTTCACCCACAGGATAAACCCGTGGAACCGCCTACCCGCCGAAGCCGCAGAGGCCAAAACTCTACTGAACATTAAAATCCAACTGGAAAAAAATATCATCAGGACAAATGGGATGACCTTTGACAAGCCGACGGCTTCCTGTTCTCGTCGAGGCCACTATAGTGTGTTAGTGGCCCTCGGGTAGTGGCAAGTTAGGATGTGACTCACATGATGAGAATGAGTAAGTGAGTTTAAGATGTAACTCACATGATAACAATGAGTGAATGAGTAACCCCTGGCCGTCTTCCACCAACAGATGCGACGGATGTGCGAAGAACTGAAGCTCTTCCGCTGTAGTGACGAATCCGGCACGCTGAAAGTCATAGAGGTCAAGAACGGACCGCTCTACCAGGCAGACCTCGACTCTAAGGTGAGCCCCCTCACACCTCACCCATGAGAGTAAGTGCAACACAAGAGCCAGGAGAGTGTGAATGATGGATAATAAGAGTGAGAGTCGCCACTAACTCTCTTCCCTCACACCGACAGGATTCCTTCATCGTAGACAACGGACAAGATGGCGTCTGGGTCTGGATCGGCAAGAAAGCCACTCAGAAGGAACGGGAGGAGGCACTCAGGAACGCCCAGGGCTTTGTTACCAAAAAGGGATACCCAGCCAGGTAATATAGGTATACCCAGCCAGGTAACATAGGTATACCTAGCCAGGTAACATAGGTATACTCAGTCAGGTAACATGGGTATACCCAGCCAGGTAACATAGGTATACCTAGCCAGGTAACATAGGTATACTCAGTCAGGTAACATGGGTATACCCAGTCAGGTAACATAGGTATACCCACGTAGATATCATATTGTACTGTAGGTAGCAGGTATACCTGGGTAGGTTCTCATAATACAGTTGGCTTTGTCCTCGACATACAACCAGTGATCCGGGGTTCGATTCCCGAGAGAGGGACATAGAGGCGGGGGGGGGGGAGAGGAAAGAAGTGAACATATATGTTCTTAATTTTAAGAGAACAATAACACATAAGAAAACGGTAACGCTCATCTTTTTCCCGTTTCTTAAAGATTTAAACCAAATTTATCAAAAGAAAAAACCTCAATGCTTAATCAATGATATTTACACATTATATTAAAAATCAATAATAGAGAGGTGAACACACCAAAAGCTTATTGACCCCACGTGTGTTGACCATGTTGTCACGTGTGTGTTGTCACGTGTGTGTTGTCACGTGTGTGTTGTCACGTGTGTGTTGTCACGTGTGTGTTGTCACGTGTGTGTTGTCACGTGTGTGTGTCACCCGGCAGCACCCAGGTCTCCCGAGTGGTCGACAACGGGGAACCTCCAGAATTCAAGACACTCTTCAGAGACTGGAAGGACAAGGAGCAGAGTCGGGGATTCGGTCGTCAGATTTCCAGTAAGTCTTCTTCACGTCCAGGCCCAAGTCCAGCCACTTGGGGTGGACGGTAGAGCGACGGTCTCGCTTCATGCAGGTCGGTGTTCAATTCCCGACCGTCCACCAAGTGGTTCAGGCCACTATTTCTTTCTTTTCTTCCCGTCCCATCCCAAATCCTTATCCTGACCCCTTCCCAGTGCTATATAGTCGTAATGGCTTGGTATTTGCCCCTGATAGTTCCCTTCCAACGCTACACTACTCTGTTCATTGTTATCTTTGAAGAACAAAAAATTTATTGTTCATTCAGCCTATCCTCTTGTTTAGATAGTACATATATTAACTATGTACATAGTAGATAGTACATATATATATATGATAGTATATATGATAGAACTATATGATAGTACATATAGCAGTCTCCGTGGTGTAGTGGTAAGACACTCGCCTGGCGTTCCGCGAGCGCTATGTCATGGGTTCGTATCCTGGCCGGGGAGGATTTACTGGGCACAATTCCTTAACTGTAGCCTCTGTTTAACGCAACAGTAAAATGTGTACTTGGATGAAAAAACGATTCTTCGAGGCAGGGGATCGTATTCCAGGGACCATAGGATTAAGGACTTGCCCGAAACGCTACGCGTACTAGTGGCTGTACAAGAATGTAACAACTCTTGTATATATCTCAAAAAAAAAAAAAAAAAAAAAAAAAAAAAAAAAAAAAAAAATATTAACTATGTACATAGTAGATAGTACATATAGTAACTATGTACATAGTAGATAGTACATATAGTAACTATGTACATAGTAGATAGTACATATAGTAACTATGTACATAGTAGATAGTACATATAGTAACTATGTGGACCATCGTACATATATTAACGTAATAGATAATTAGAAAGTAGATTTTAGCACTGTTGAATTTCCTGGACAAACAGGAAAAGATTTTAGATTTATGTTGCTAATAAAACCAAACTTAACCATCTTAGGCCTAACGCACGCTATCTGAGGCCTAATATAGTACATATATGTGCTATACAAGGCCTAGGAATATTTAAATTTAGCTTTATTTTTTCCATACTCTAAGAGTGAATAGTACAAAAATTCTACTATCGTCCAAATGGTTACAAAAAGTTCTACCTGAACAGGAAGACAGGTTAGTTTATTTCACAATAATAATGGGCGTGTTAAGTTCAACTAGGCAGCTACGGAGGAACAGGAAAGGTGAATGCTAATGATCCTGTTGATCAGACCACACTAGAACGTGAAGGGACGACGACGTTTCGGTCCGTCCTGGATCATTCTCAAGTCGATTGTGTCGACTTGAGTCGACAATCAACTTGTGAATGGTCCAGGAAGGGCCGGAACGTCGTCGTCCCTTCACCTTCTAGTGTGTGGTCTGGTCAACATACTTTAGCCACGTTATTGTGACTCATCGCCTGCTAATGAGTATATCCAGTATACTCATATATCCATCAAATATGGTCCGGGCAGACTGTTGATTCTGCTGCAGGATGGACGAAACAAGATACGAGCTGCCGGCTGACAAGTGGACGAGTGCACTTGATGTAATGTACAACGAGAGACTAACTATAGCAGAAGCACTTTACATCAAACACACGCGTCGTCCAGTTGTCAACAGCCAGCTTATATCTCGTGTCATCCCTCCTTCAGCACAAACACGAACTGCTAATTTATGCTCCACTCACAACCCCAGCTATCATGTGAGAATGTTTAACCCGCTTTACCTATCATCTTCGCAGAGCTTTACCTATCTATTTACCTATTTTATTTACCTATTTTATTTACCTATCATCTTTGTAATGAACTGTGTTCTGCTGGCATGAACTTTTGCACTTTCGTCTTGACATATAGTTCAATATTAACAAGGGAGTTATCAGGGAACAATGCCAAGCCATTACGACTATATAGCACTGGGAAGGGGTCAGGATAAGGTTTTAGGATGGGACGGGGGGAAGGAATGGTTCCCAACCACTTGCACGGTCGGGGATTGAACGCCGACCTGCATGAAGCGAGACCGTCGCTCTACCGTCCCGCCCAAGTGGTTGGGTCAATCAATATTAATAAAGGCTCAGGTAATTTCCGTCTATGGTTTTGTTTATTGTATGTTAGTAAAATATTTCTTAAAGAAGGAGGATAATTTATAAGTTATTGTGAAGTGTTTATGTGTTAACCCTTTAATGGTGGTTGGTGGTTGGACCTGTTGGTCGGTCACTGGCGGGGACGTCACGTCACCTGGTGGTCGGTCACTGGCGGAGACGTCACGTCACCTGGTGGTCGGTCACTGGCGGAGACGTCACGTCACCTGGTGGTCGGTCACTGGCGGAGACGTCACGTCACCTGGTGGTCGGTCACTGGCGGAGACGTCACGTCACCTGGTGGTCGGTCACTGGCGGGGACGTCACGTCACCTGGTGGTCGGTCACTGGCGGAGACGTCACGTCACCTGGTGGTCGGTCACTGGCGGAGACGTCACGTCACCTGGTGGCCGGTCACTGGCGGAGACGTCACGTCACCTGGTGGCCGGTCACTGGCGGAGACGTCACGTCACCTGGTGGTCGGTCACTGGCGGAGACGTCACGTCACCTGGTGGTCGGTCACTGGCGGAGACGTCACGTCACCTGGTGGTCGGTCACTGGCGGAGACGTCACGTCACCTGGTGGTCGGTCACTGGCGGAGACGTCACGTCACCTGGTGGCCCGTCACTGGCGGAGACGTGACGTCACCTGGTGGCCGGTCACTGGCGGAGACGTCACGTCACCTGGTGGTCGGTCACTGACGGAGACGTGACGTCACCTGGTGGCCCGTCACTGACGGAGACGTCACGTCACCTGGTGGCCCGTCACTGGCGGAGACATAAGACCATAACATAACAATAAACATAATATGAACATGTTTTCATTTATACGGAATATAGAAAAATATTGATTTGGCAACAACGTTCCACGACCATAACCATTTCACGAGAAAAATTATGAATAGGCCTACTGTAGTGTTCGAAAGGTCTGATGTTTTCCATGTTATGGTGGCGACACAGGCTCCAGGATCGCCACCACCGTCCAGACCAAGTTCGACGCCAACTCCCTCCACTCTCAGCCGGAAATTGCCGCCAAGACCCAAATGGTTGACGACGGAAGCGGCCAGAAGGAAGTGTGGAGGTACTCAATAATATATCTATCTATATCTATCTATATCTATTTCTCTCTCTCTCTCTCTCTCTCTCTCTCTCTCTCTCTCTCTCTCTCTCTCTCTCTCTCTCTCTCTCTCTCTCTCTCTCTCTCTCTCTCTCTCTCTCTCTCTCTCGTGACGAAGGTGAAGACTAATATAAGACGTGTTACTGAGGTAACTCGAGATACTGCTAGCAAGCTGAGTAATATGGCTGGTAACGGGAACAACCCCGTTACTTGCGTTAGTGCCGGAGTAATTGAAGCAGGACGAGTTAGGAGTGAGGCACTAACGCATAGGTTTAAAACAGCCATTGAATTAGGCGCAGGGGAGGAATCCCGAGTACTACAAAGGTGTACTACACTTAGCAAAAGGAGAACCACAGTCTCTTATATATGAAGCACCTGTCCTGCACTTCTGCCTGCTTCATCACCCCCTGTGTGGCACTGTGCCAACTGCCTTGTGACACTCTCAATACTTGTCTATGTCTGTGATTACAAGGCATCCTTGTCTATGAAATCTTGTGGAATTATGTTAGGGTTGTTAACTGGCATTAAATTTTTAAATTAAATTAAATTTTGCCCCGAGGGGCGAGTTTATTGGGCAGCGCCACTCATCTAGTGAGTGGACATACCGCCATAGCAGCATGTACAACACTCCCCAATAGGAAGAAAACTGTTCAGGATTGCTGGGAATTATCATCTTTCCCCATATCCTATTGATCTCATTTTCTTTTGTTTTTACAATATTTTGTAATGTTTGTTTGTTTTACGATTATTTCTGCATGTTTGTGAAGGGCCATAACTGAGATGCTGCTCTCTGGGTGTCCAGATGACCTCACTGTCACTTCTTGTGCCTTCTCTCCCTCTCCCTCTTCATCTTAAGACAACCAGCATCCTTCTCTCCCTCTCCCTCTTCATCTTAAGACATCCAGCATCCTTCTCTCCCTCTTCATCTTAAGACATCCAGCATCCTTCTCTCCCTCTCCCTCTTCATCTTAAGACATCCAGCATCCTTCTCTCCCTCTCCCTCTTCATCTTAAGACATCCAGCATCCTTCTCTCCCTCTCCCTCTTCATCTTAAGACATCCAGCATCCTTCTCTCCCTCTCCCTCTTCATCTTAAGACATCCAGCATCCCTGGTTCTGTCGAGAAGGCCTCTTGGAATTATCCAATACATTTCTTTATTCTTCCTTATTAAATCACCCCTATCCTTTTTTTTAACTAGTTCCTAGACTGTTGTCTGCTTCTTTAGGTTGCTCTGCAACAGCTTGGGTTATGTTCTTGCTATATCTATTAGATCGTTTTGGTCTCTCTGCTTCTCTCCTCAGTCTGTGGTATTACTTCATGTGTCCCCTTTAGTACCTTTCCCTTCTCTCTGCCCTTGTTTGTGACCTGTATTTTACGCACGTCCTCACGCCTGTGAGTTTTGCTTCCTTACACAGTTGGTTAAAGATGGTGTCTAGCAGAATGAATTAGCATTTTCATTTCGACTAAATGAATACACGTACTCATGCACATCAATGTGGGTGAATACAGGGAGGCCTAATACCCTCAATAGGACCCCTTATACCCCTCATAGGACGCCTTATACCCTCATATAACGCTTTATACCCTCATAGGACCCCTTATACCCTCATAGGACCCCTTATACCCTCATAGGACGCCTTTATACCCTCCTAGGACTCCTTATACCCTCATAGGACCCCTTATACCCTCATAGAACCCCTTATACCCTCATAGGACCTCTTATACCCTCATAGGACTCCTTATACCCTCATAGGACCCCTTATACCCTCATAGGACGCCTTATACCCTCATAGGACGCCTTATACCCTCATAGAACCCCTGATACCCACACGGCACCCCTTAGAACGGCATCCGTCTAACCTTTGTGTTGCTTCGTAGAGTGAAGAACTTCGACCTGGTACCCGTACCCGAGCAGCAGTACGGAGAGTTCTTCATGGGTGACTGCTACATCATCCTCTACGCCTACCTTCACGCCAACACCGAACACTACATCCTCTACTACTGGATCGTGAGTGTCCCCCCCCCCCCCCAGTGCTTTAATGTGGAGATCAATGCTCACTTTCTGCTGGTCTGTGTGTGAGGTTCAGTAGAAGGGTGGTATGTTCTTTTCAAACCCGATATTATTATTGGAAAGTAGAGAGTAAGGGGAAAAAAAAGGCTTTTAAAAGAGATTCATTGGTTTATGTGGGTTACTGTCTGTTGGCGGTAAGTACATGGGGGGCAGTGGTGGTTACTGGCGGATGGTAATTATGTAAATAATGTCGGGCGCTAAAGTTAGAACGCTGTAATGATCCTAGCAACACTGTCTAGCACTATCTAACACTGTCTAGCACTATCTAACACTGTCTAGCACTGTCCAACACTGTCTAGCAGTGTCCAACACTGTCTACCAGTGTCCAACACTGTCTACCAGTGTCCAACACTGTCTACCAGTGTCCAACACTGTCTACCAGTGTCCAATACTGTCTAGCAGTGTCCAACACTGTCTAGCAGTGTCCAACACTGTCTACCAGTGTCCAACACTGTCTACCAGTGTCCAACACTGTCTAGCAGTGTCCAACACTGTCTACCAGTGTCCAACACTGTCTACCAGTGTCCAACACTGTCTACCAGTGTCCAACACTGTCTAGCAGTGTCCAACACTGTCTACCAGTGTCCAACACTATCTAGCACTGAACAAAACCACAAGGACCGTCACGAGGATTCGAATCCTCGTCACGGCCCTTGTGGATTTGTTCATTTGATGCATCACGCTATTGTGAGTTCTGTGTGTACTGTCTAGCACTGTCCAACATTGTCTATCAGTGTCCAACGCTGTCCAACACTGTCTAGCAGTGTCCAACGCTGTCTAGCAGTGTCCAACGCTGTTTAGCAGTGTCCAACGCTGTCTAGCAGTGTCCAACGCTGTCCAACACTGTCTAGCAGTGTCCAACGCTGTCTAGCAGTGTCCAACGCTGTCTAGCAGTGTCCAACGCTGTCCAACACTGTCTAGCAGTGTCCAACGCTGTCCAACACTGTCTAGCACTGTCCAACACTGTCCAACACTGTCTAGCAGTGTCCAACACTGTCCAACACTGTCCAACACTGTCTAGCAGTGTCCAACGCTGTCCAACACTGTCTAGCACTGTCCAACACTGTCCAACATTGTCTAGCAGTGTCCAACACTGTCCAACACTGTCCAACACTGTCCAACACTGTCCAACACTGTCTAGCAGTGTCCAACACTGTCCAACATTGACAGGGTAACGACGCCAGCCAGGACGAGGCGGGGACGGCGGCGCTGAAGGTGGTGGAGCTGGACGACAAGCTACAGGGGCGAGCCATCCAGGTGAGGGTGACCCAGGAGAAGGAACCTCCGCACTTCATGGCCATCTTCGGCGGCAAGATGGTCGTCTTCGAAGGTGGCTACGCTTCCTCCTTTGATGGTTAGTGAAGATGGATGTTTCGTGTGTGTTGGTGGGGGCGGAAACAAGCGACGTTCTCGAAAAAAATGTGTACAAGACCAACCCGTCTTCGACTCAAGTCCATTACATTCAGCGGTCGACCCCACAGACGCATTCATATATTTTAATATGCTGTTCATTCAAAACGGGAATTTTCTCAAGTATAAATTAATATTATAATATATTAGCATATTGTGTATAAATAGGCATAGGTTAGGTTAGGTCAGGTGTTTAGGTTCTGTTTGCGAATATTTGTATTTTTAGTACGTGGGTGAAGCATTTACAGCGTTGTGGTTCGAACAAAATTCGTCAGTGAAGCACTTGTTCCGGATATGTTCGAACGTCAGCAGTTGTGAGTCGTGTGTAAACCGCTTTTCATTCATAAACAGGGGGTTTGGCGGGTGCATGGAATCACTTTTGGATCTTAGTTTGGAGGACGGGCTGGAATGGAACTGCGTTAGCGTTCGAAAATAGTCGAATTGGCAGAGGGAACCACGCCAAGACAGAAATTAGGCATGACAAGAGACCACAGATGAACAAGGACCTGCCTGTAGAAGTCTTAACTGAGAAATATACTAGAAGAGAAGATGACAAATGAAAAATAATAAAGTTCAACCGATGGTTCCATACTCAGTGCTGGAAAGCAATGAACAGGATAAGGAAAACATGAACAAAATACCAAAAACAGAGCAGGAAAATAAAGATGAAGACATTTAAGAGAACCAGAAATTAGTACATGTCCATGAGAACAGCAGAGCAACAAACTTAAATTTTTGAGAGAGATATATACAAGAGTTGTTACATTCTTGTACAGCCACTAGTACGCGTAGCGTTTCGGGCAGGTCCCTGGAATACGATCCCCTGCCGCGAAGAATCGTTTTTTCATCCAAGTACACATTTTACTGTTGCGTTAAACAGAGGCTACAGTTAAGGAATTGCGCCCAGTAAATCCTCCCCGGCCAGGATACGAACCCATGACATAGCGCTCGCGGAACGCCAGGCGAGTGTCTTACCACTACACCACGGAGACTGTAAATGATGATCAAACAACAGTAAGGTATGCAGGCGATGAGTCACAATAACGTGGCTAAAGTATGTTGACCAGACCACACACTAGAAGGTGAAGGGACGACGACGTTTCGGTCCGTCCTGGACCATTCTCAAGTCGATTGAGAATGGTCCGACTTGACACAATCGACTTGAGAATGGTCCAGGACGGACCGAAACGTCGTCGTCCCTTCACCTTCTAGTGTGTGGTCTGGTCAACAACAGTTAAGTATGTTCAGATTATGGAGAATAACTTCTTAGATCAACAACAGGTTACTGTAGGTGAGTAAGGGAATTCAGCAAGTGGTTACAACAACACCCATCATCACCTCATCCCACATCATCTCATAAGCCATCATTATCATCACACACCACACGCGAGGAGCAGCTAACACGGGGCTGGTGTTACAGGAGCCGGGGCGCGCGACCAAGGGCGCAAGAGTTCCTACATGCTGCAGGTCCGCGGTACTACTGGCCTCCACACCAAGGCTGTCGAGGTTAGTCTCACCCTCCACCTCCTGCTCCACACCCACCCTCCACCTCCTGCTCCACACCCACCCTCCACCTCCTGCTCCACACCCACCCTACACCTCCTGCTCCACACCCACCCTACACCTCCTGCTCCACACCCACCCTCCACCTCCTGCTCCACACCCACCCTCCACCTCCTGCTCCACACCCACCCTACACCTCCTGCTCCACACCCACCCTACACCTCCTGCTCCACACCCACCCTCCACCTCCTGCTCCACACCCACCCTACACCTCCTGCTCCACACCCACCCTCCACCTCCTGCTCCACACCCACCCTCCACCTCCTGCTCCACACCCACCCTCCACCTCCTGCTCCACACCCACCCTCCACCTCCTGCTCCACACCCACCCTACACCTCCTGCTCCACACCCACCCTACACCTCCTGCTCCACACCCACCCTCCACCTCCTGCTCCACACCCGCCCTCCACCTCCTGCTCCACACTCACCCTCCACCTCCTGCTCCACACCCATCCTCCACCTCCTGCTCCACACCCACCCTCCACCTCCTGCTCCACACCCGCCCTCCACCTCCTGCTCCACACCCACCCTCCACCTCCTGCTCCACACTCACCCTCCACCTCCTGCTCCACACCCATCCTCCACCTCCTGCTCCGCACCCACCCTCCACCTCCTGCTCCACACTCACCCTCCACCTCCTGCTCCACACCCATCCTCCACCTCCTGCTCCGCACCCACCCTCCACCTCCTGCTCCACACTCACCCTCCACCTCCTGCTCCACACCCACCCTCCACCTCCTGCTCCACACCCACCCTCCACCTCCTGCTCCACACCCATCCTCCACCTCCTGCTCCACACCCACCCTCCACCTCCTGCTCCACACCCACCCTACACCTCCTGCTCCACACTCACCCTCCACCTCCTGCTCCACACCCATCCTCCACCTCCTGCTCCACACTCACCCTCCACCTCCTGCTCCACACCCATCCTACACCTCCTGCTCCACACCCACCCTCCACCTCCTGCTCCACACCCACCCTACACCTCCTGCTCCACACCCACCCTCCACCTCCTGCTCCACACCCACCCTCCTCCTCCTGCTCCACACCCACCCTACACCTCCTGCTCCACACCCACCCTACACCTCCTGCTCCACACCCACCCTCCACCTCCTGCGCCACACCCACCCTACACCTCCTGCTCCACACCCACCCTCCACCTCCTGCTCCACACCCACCCTCCACCTCCTGCTCCACACCCACCCTACACCTGCTCCACACCCACCCTACACCTCCTGCTCCACACCCACCCTCCACCTCCTGCTCCACACCCACCCTCCACCTCCTGCTCCACACCCACCCTCCACCTCCTGCTCCACACTCACCCTCCACCTCCTGCTCCACACCCACCCTCCACCTCCTGCTCCACACCCACCCTACACCTCCTGCTCCACACTCACCCTCCACCTCCTGCTCCACACCCACCCTCCACCTCCTGCTCCACACCCACCCTCCACCTCCTGCTCCACACTCACCCTCCACCTCCTGCTCCACACTCACCCTCCACCTCCTGCTCCACACCCACCCTCCACCTCCTGTTCCACACCCACCCTACACCTCCTGCTCCACACCCACCCTCCACCTCCTGCTCCACACCCACCCTCCACCTCCTGCTCCACACTCACCCTCCACCTCCTGTTCCACACCCACCCTACACCTCCTGCTCCACACCCACCCTCCACCTCCTGCTCCACACTCACCCTCCACCTCCTGCTCCACACCCATCCTCCACCTCCTGCTCCTGCTCCACACCCACCTTACACCTCCTGCTCCACACCTGCTCCTACACCTCCTGCTCCACACCCACCCTCCACCTCCTGCTCCACACCCACCCTACACCTCCTGCTCCACACCCATCCTCCACCACTTGCTCCACACCTCTCCTCTGTCCCCGACTGTATGCAGGTATTCCTGGTGTTGCGGGCTTCTTTATTTAAGTATACAGCTATAACCAATCTATATAACCTATAACCAAGCTATAACCAATCTATATAACCTATAACCAAGCTATAACCAATCTATATAACCTATAACCAAGCTATAACCAATCTATATAACCTATAACCAAGCTATAACCAATCTATAACCAATCTCTAAACTGTTTATTATGTATTAGTTTTAATTAGTTGTATTATGTATTAGTGTTAACAGTTTGACTATGTGTTAAGTGGACGTTGTGTTGGACCCGGGACCATAAACGCTCCTCTCCCTCTTAAGGACCTGTTCTGTTTTGTCCCATGAACAATGTGTGAGCCTCTTGGACAGTGACTGATTTGCACCCATGACCCCGTGACCCGCCGGTGACCTCTGCTGCGCCTTCGCTTCTTTGTGACCCGTATTTATGGACATATTAATATGGTTAACACACGATGGTCCGGAAGACCTCCGCGCGGCAGTAACCGGACACAACGATGACGCAGGACATCAACACTGGACAGATTCACTGGACAGACTCACTGGACTGCAGCCTGCGTCGTTATGCCCCACGACGATTCTTGAACATACCCATAATGCCCCACACGACGGCAGCTGCCCTCAGCATAGGGGCATCCCGGGACACCAGACGGACCCCCAGAAGGTGCTAATGTGCTCCCTGCTGCCAGGTGGACATGCGCGCCGCCTGTCTCAACTCTAACGATTGCTTCATCGTGGCGACGCCCCAGCTGACGTACGTCTGGTGTGGCAAGGGCTCCACCGGCGACGAGCGGGAGATGGCAAAGTCCCTGGCAGCCAACAGGGGCGAGACTGTCATCGTCTCCGAGGGTGAGTAACCGCGGGGCACAGTGAGAAGGAACACTGGCAGGAACACTGTAGAAGGGATGAAGTAAGTCATTGTCAAATGAAGGCACCAAGCCGGGAAGGCTATGTAGCAATAGTAGGGATGTAGAGAAGGAACAGTGTGGGAAGGATGAGGAAAGGAACAGTGTGGGAAGGATGAGGAAAGGAACAGTGTGGGAAGGATGAGGAAAGGAACAGTGTGGGAAGGATGAGGAAAGGAACAGTGTGGGAAGGATGAGGAAAGGAACAGTGTGGAAAGGATGAGGAAAGGAACAGTGTGGGAAGGATGAAGATAACCAGAGTAAATTTTCTTATCTGAATTTAAAAAAAAAATTGTATTAAAACGAATTTAAAATGGGGAAGAGACTCAAAAAAAGCAATGAATGAATTTGGTGGATATAAATATTAGCGTCTTCTTATGAACCAATCAGCGTTCTGCAGTTACGGTTCTTAGGTTCTTATTCTTAGGCTGTAAGACATTGAGATAAGCCTCCATCCGGGTCAACCACAGTCAAAGTTTCTAGCACAACATTTCGCTGGTATACAAACCTCTTTCTTGCCCCTGACTGCAGGTCAGACAGCAGAAGGCTGTTTATATCGCAGCTTGTGGTGTTCCAGCGCAGTTACAGCCCCGCTCCTGTGCCAGGTAAGTCCACGACGGGCTCGCCATAGCCCGTGCTACTTGGAACATATTGTTCCCAGTAGCTGAATCTATAACAACAACGGTGTTCCAGGGCACGAGAAGGAAGACTTCTGGAAGGCGTTGGGAGGCTATGAGGAGTACGCCAGCTCCCCCAGGCTTAGGGAGGACAACCACACTCATCCGCCGAGGCTCTTCCAGTGCTCCAACGCCAGCGGAGTCTTCAGAGGTCAGTTGTGTACTTGTCAACAGGACAGGGATCAGTGGGTCGTGTTTCGGTTAAGACATGAAGGCCATTAAGTAGTTGCTCCCAACACCCGCTACACAGCCAGCAGGGCCCGCTACACAGCCAGCAGGGCCCGCTACACAGCCAGTAGGGCCCGCTACACAGCCAGCAGGGCCCGCTACACAGCCAGCAGGGCCCGCTACACAGCCAGCAGGGCCCGCTACACAGCCAGCAGGGTCCGCTACACAGCCAGCAGGGCCCGCTACACAGCCAGCAGGGTCCGCTACACAGCCAGCAGGGTCCGCTACACAGCCAGCAGGGTCCGCTACACAGCCAGCAGGGCCCGCTACACAGCCAGCAGGGCCCGCTACACAGCCAGCAGGGTCCGCTACACAGCCAGCAGGGTCCGCTACACAGCCAGCAGGGTCCGCTACACAGCCAGCAGGGTCCGCTACACAGCCAGCAGGGCCCGCTACACAGCCAGCAGGGCCCGCTACACAGCCAGCAGGGCCCGCTACACAGCCAGCAGGGTCCGCTACACAGCCAGCAGGGTCCGCTACACAGCCAGCAGGGCCCGCTACACAGCCAGCAGGGTCCGCTACACAGCCAGCAGGGTCCGCTACACAGCCAGCAGGGTCCGCTACACAGCCAGCAGGGCCCGCTACACAGCCAGCAGGGTCCGCTACACAGCCAGCAGGGTCCGCTACACAGCCAGCAGGGCCCGCTACACAGCCAGCAGGGTCCGCTACACAGCCAGCAGGGTCCGCTACACAGCCAGCAGGGTCCGCTACACAGCCAGCAGGGCCCGCTACACAGCCAGCAGGGCCCGCTACACAGCCAGCAGGGTCCGCTACACAGCCAGCAGGGTCCGCTACACAGCCAGCAGGGTCCGCTACACAGCCAGCAGGGTCCGCTACACAGCCAGCAGGGCCCGCTACACAGCCAGCAGGGCCCGCTACACAGCCAGCAGGGCCCGCTACACAGCCAGCAGGGTCCGCTACACAGCCAGCAGGGTCCGCTACACAGCCAGCAGGGCCCGCTACACAGCCAGCAGGGTCCGCTACACAGCCAGCAGGGTCCGCTACACAGCCAGCAGGGTCCGCTACACAGCCAGCAGGGCCCGCTACACAGCCAGCAGGGCCCGCTACACAGCCAGCAGGGCCCGCTACACAGCCAGCAGGGTCCGCTACACAGCCAGCAGGGTCCGCTACACAGCCAGCAGGGCCCGCTACACAGCCAGCAGGGCCCGCTACACAGCCAGCAGGGCCCGCTACACAGCCAGCAGGGTCCGCTACACAGCCAGCAGGGCCCGCTACACAGCCAGCAGGGTCCGCTACACAGCCAGCAGGGTCCGCTACACAGCCAGCAGGGTCCGCTACACAGCCAGCAGGGCCCGCTACACAGCCAGCAGGGTCCATGACCACACCACACAGTGCTCATGCCCACACCACACAGTACTCATGACCACACCACACAGTGCTCATGACCACACCACACAGTGCTCATGACCACACCACACAGTGCTCATGACCACACCACACAGTGCTCATGAACACACCACACAGTGCTCATGACCACACCACACAGTGCTCATGACCACACCACACAGTGCTCATGACCACACCACACAGTGCTCATGACCACACCACACAGTGCTCATGACCACACCACACAGTGCTCATGACCACACCACACAGTGCTCATGAACACACCACACAGTGCTCATGACCACACCACACAGTGCTCATGACCACACCACACAGTGCTCATGACCACACCACACAGTGCTCATGACCACACCACACAGTACTCATGACCACACCACACAGTGCTCATGACCACACCACACAGTGCTCATGACCACACCACACAGTGCTCATGACCACACCACACAGTGCTCATGAACACACCACACAGTGCTCATGAACACACCACACAGTGCTCATGACCACACCACACAGTACTCATGACCACACCACACAGTGCTCATGAACACACCACATAGTGCTCATGACACAAGACAGTGGAGGCGTGGACAGCATCAACTTTAAGGTGTGTTCACCACAGAGACTCACGCTCACCTCTTCACATTTACACACACACACAAAACATTACATTTTATCAAACTCGTTTGTTTAACGGAGATGCCGTCCCCGACACGCACGCGCACACACACACACACACACACACACACACACACACACACACACACACACACACACAATGCCGTGTTTCGAATAAACGAATGTTTTAACGAATGCCGTGTTTCCCCAGGAGTACACAATAATAAGGAAAGAGAGGGAAGGTAGGGGAGGAGGAGGAGTGGCCCTACTCATGAGAAAGGAATGGAGTTTTAAGGAGATGGCTATCCCGGGCTGTGAGGGTTTCAGAGACTACATAGCAGGCACCATGACAATGGGAGGACCAAGGATAGTAGTAGCAGTAATATATAATCCTCCACCAAATGACAAAAGACCCAGTCAAGAGTACGAAAGCAACAACATGGCAGTTAACACTATAATTGAGAGGGCAGCCTCTTCTGCCTGTAGAAATAGATCCCACCTGCTCATCATGGGGGACTTCAATCACGGCAGGATTGATTGGGAGAACAAGGAACCGCATGGAGGCGAGGATACGTGGAGAGCCAAACTACTGGAGGTGGCGACTAGAAACTTCTTAACCCAGCATGTCAGTGAACCCACAAGGATGAGAGGAAACGACGAACCAGCGAGACTCGACCTGGTTTTCACCCTGAACGACTCTGACATAAGAGAAATCAGTTTTGAGGACCCAGTAGGAATGAGCGACCACAGTGTATTGGTGTTTGAGTACCTGATTGAAGAAGGGTTATTGAACTCGAGAAGGGATACCGAAACCAAAAGGTTAGCAAACCGAAAGGGAAACTATGAGGAGATAAGAAAATGCCTAGCAGATATAGCATGGGAAACAGAGCTCAGGGAAAAGACGGCCCAAGATATGATGGAATACATCACGCAAAAATGCAAGGATGCAGCAAACAAGTTTGTCCCAGTCCAAAAGGAAAACAGTGAAATGAAGATGAGAAACCCATGGTTTAATCAGAGATGTAGGCTAGCTAAGCAGCAAAGTAAAAGGGCATGGAGAAACTATAGGAATAACAGGACACTGGAGAGCAGAGAAAGATACCAGAATGCCAGGAATGAATATGTTAGGATGAGAAGAGAGGCAGAAAGACAATACGAAAATGACATCGCAAGCAAGGCAAAGACTCAGCCTAAATTGCTGCATAGCCACATCAGGAGAAAAACAACAGTAAAGGAACAGGTTATGAAATTAAGGTTAGGGGCAGAAGGATTCACTACAAACGACAAGGAAGTGTGTGAGGAACTGAATAAGAAATTCCAGGAGGTCTTCACCTTAGAGCAAGGAGAAATCCCAGAGATAAGAGAGGGAATAGCTAACCAGGAACCACTGGAAGAGTTTGAGATTACCAGCGGGGAAGTAAGGAAGTGTTTACTAGAATTGGATGTGACAAAGGCTATAGGTCCAGATGGAATCTCCCCTTGGATACTAAAGGAAGGAGCAGAAGAACTGTGCCTCCCGCTCTCCATGGTGTATAACAAATCACTGGCAACAGGGGAACTGCCAGAAATTTGGAAAGCAGCTAACGTAGTCCCGATATACAAGAAAGGGGATAGACAGGAGGCACTGAATTACAGGCCAGTGTCCCTAACCTGCATACCATGCAAGTTGATGGAGAAGATTGTGCGAAGAAAGCTAGTGGAACATCTGGAGCGAAAGAACTTTGTAACACAGCATCAACATGGATTCAGGGATGGCAGGTCCTGCCTCACAGGGTTACTTGAATTCTACGACCAGGCAACAAAAATAAGGCAAGAAAGAGAAGGGTGGGCAGACTGCATATTTTTGGATTGTCAGAAAGCGTGGAAACAGGAGGCCAGACACAGGATACAGAATAGGAGATGAAGAACTTAATGACACGGACTGAGAGAAAGATCTAGGAGTTGATATCACACCAAACCTGTCTCCTGAAGCCCACATAAAAAGAATAACGTCTGCGGCATATGCGGGACTGCCTAACATCAGAACAGCCTTCAGGAACCTGTGTAAGGAATCATTCAGAATCTTGTACACCACATATGTAAGACCAATCCTGGAGTATGCGGCCCCAGCATGGAGCCCGTATCTTGTCAAGCACAAGATGAAGCAGGAAAAAGTCCAAAGGTATGCCACTAGACTAGTCCCAGAACTAAGAGGCATACGTTACGAGGAAAGGCTGCGGGAAAAGCACCTTGCGACACTGGAAGACAGAAGAGTAAGGGGAGACATGATCACAACCTACACAACCCTCAGAGGAATCGACCGCGTAAACAAGGATAAACTATTCAACACTGGTGGGACGCAAACAAGGGGACACAGATGGAAACTGAGTACTCACATGAGCCACAGAGACGTTAGAAGGAACTTTTTCAGTGTCAGAGTAGTTAACGGATGGAAAGCATTAGGCAGTGATGTGGTGGAGGCTGACTCCATACACAGTTTCAAATGTAGATATGATAGAGCCCAGTAGGCTCAGGAATCTGTACACCAGTTGATTGACAGTTGAGAGGTGAGACCAAAGAACCAAAGCTCAACCCCCGCAAGCACAAATAGGTGAGTACACACACACACACACACACACACACACACACACACACACACACACACACACACACACACACACAAACCCATGGTTTAATCAGAGATGTAGGCTAGCTAAGCAGCAAAGTAAAAGGGCATGGAGAAACTATAGGAATAACAGGACACTGGAGAGCAGAGAAAGATACCAGAATGCCAGGAATGAATATGTCAGGATGAGAAGAGAGGCAGAAAGACAATACGAAAATGACATCGCAAGCAAGGCAAAGACTCAGCCTAAATTGCTGCATAACCACATCAGGAGAAAAACAACAGTAAAGGAACAGGTTATGAAATTAAGGATAGGGGCGGAAGGATTCACTACAAACGACAAGGAAATTCTGTGAGGAACTGAATAAGAAATTCCAGGAGGTCTTCACCTTAGAGCAAGGAGAAATTCCAGAGGTAAGTGAGGGAATAGCTAACCAGGGACCACTGGAAGAGTTTGAGATTACCAGCTGGGAAGTAAGGAAGTGTTTACTAGAGTTGGATGTGACAAAGGCTATAGGCCCAGATGGAATCTCCCCTTGGATACTAAAGGAAGGAGCAGAAGAACTGTGCTTACCACTCTCCATAGTGTATAACAAATCACTGGCAACAGGGGAACTGCCAGATATTTGGAAAGCAGCTAACGTAGTCCCAATATAAAATAAAGGGGATAGACAGGAGGCACTGAACTACAGGCCAGTGTCCTTAACCTGCATACCATGCAAGCTGATGGAGAAGATTGTGCGAAGAAAGCTAGTGGAGCATCTGGAGCGAAAGAACTTTGTAACACACCATCAACATGGGTTCAGGGATGGCAGGTCCTGCCTCACAGGGTAACTTGAATTCTACAACCAGGCAACAAAAATAAGGCAAGAAAGAGAAGGGTGGGCAGACTGCATATTTTTGGATTGTCAGAAAGCCTTTGATACAGTACCACACAAGAGGCTAGTGAAAAAGCTGGAGATGCAGGCTGGAGTGAAAAGGGAAGGTACTCCATTGGATAAAGGAGTACCTAAGCAACAGGAGACAACGAGTCAGTGTGAGGGGTGAGGTCTCAGATTGGCGAGACGTTACAAGTAGAGTCCCGCAGGGGTCAGTCCTTGGACCTATACTGTTTCTGATATATGTAAATGATCTCCCAGAGGGTATAGAATCGTTTCTCTCAATGTTTGCCGATGATGCAAAAATTATGAGGAGGATTGAAACTGAGGATGATAGTAGGAGGCTACAAGATGACCTAGACAGACTGAGTGAATGGTCCAACAAATGGCTGTTGAAGTTCAACCCGAGTAAATGCAAAGTAATGAAACTAGGCAGTGGAAACAGGAGGCCAGACACAGGATACAGAATAGGAGATGAAGTACTTAATGAAACGGACAGAGAGAAAGATCTAGGAGTTGATATCACACCAAACCTGTCTCCTGAAGCCCACATAAAAAGAATAACGTCTGCGGCATATGCGAGGCTGGCTAACATCAGAACAGCGTTCAGGAACCTGTGTAAGGAATCATTCAGAATCTTGTACACCACATATGTAAGACCAATCCTGGAGTATGCGGCCCCAGCATGGAGCCCGTACCTTGTCAAGCACAAGACGAAGCTGGAAAAAGTCCAAAGGTATGCCACTAGACTAGTCCCAGAACTAAGAGGCATGAGTTACGAGGAAAGGCTGCGGGAAATGCACCTTACGACACTGGAAGACAGAAGAGTAAGGGGAGACATGATCACAACCTACAAAATCCTCAGGGGAATCGACCGGGTAAACAAGGATAAACTATTCAACACTGGTGAGACGCGAACAAGGGGACACAGGTGGAAACTGAGTACCCACATGAGCCACAGGGACGTTAGAAGGAACTTTTTCAGTGTCAGAGTAGTTAACGGATGGAATGCATTAGGCAGTGATGTGGTGGAGGCTGACTCCATACATAGTTTTAAATGTAGATATGATAGAGTCCAGTAGGCTCAGGAATCTGTACACCAGTTGATTGACAGTTGAGAGGCGGGACCAAAGAGCCAAAGCTCAACCCCCGCAAGCACAACTAGGTGAGTACACACATACACACACACACACCATGGGGGGCCTGGTAGCCTGGTGGATAGCGCGCAGGGCTCGTAATTCTGTGGCGCGGGTTCGATTCCCGCACCAGGCAGAAACAAATGGGCAAGGTTTCTTTCACCCTGAATACCTAGCAGTTAATAGGTACCTGGGAGTTAGTCAGCTGTCACGGGCTGCTTCCTGGGGTGTGTGTGTGTGGTGTGGAAAAAAAAGTAGTTAGTTAGTAAACAGTTGATTGACAGTTGAGAGGCGGACCGAAAGAGCAAAGCTCAACCACCGCAAAATACAGCTGGGTGAATACAACTAGGTGAACACACACACACGCACACACACACAACTTTTTTAGTGTCAGAGTGGTTGACAAATGGAATGCATTAGGAAGTGATGTGGTGGAGGCTGACTCCATACACAGTTTCAAATGTAGATATGATAGAGCCCAATAGGCTCAGAAACCTGTACACCTGTTGATTGACGGTTGAGAGGCGGGACCAAAGAGCCAGAGCTCAACCCCCGCAAGCACAATTAGGTGAGTACACACACACACATACACCCACACACAGCTACCAGGCGCAGTATCCACCTTACAACAAGTGTGGCTACACTGTGACACAACGACGTTCATGTGTTTACTGTAGAGGTACTCACCAGGGGCCAGATTCATGAAAGCACTTACGCAAGCACTTACGAACCTATACATCTTTTCTCAATCTTTGGCGGCTTTGTTTCCAATTATTAAACAGTTAATGAGCTCCGAAGCACCAGGAGGCTGTTTATAACAATACCAACAGTTGAATAGAAAGTTTTCATGCTTGTAAACTGTTTAATAAATGTAACCAACGCCATTAAAGATTGAGGAAAGATGTACACGTACGTAAGTGCTTGCGTAAGTGCTTTCGTGAATCTGGCCCCAAACCACACATACTTCATGATGCCTTCTTGAGAGTGCCTGTATCCCCCTACAGCTGAGGAGGTGATCAACTTCTCCCAGGCGGACCTGACGGAGGACGATGTTATGCTCCTCGACACCTGGGACACCATCTTCCTCTGGGTGGGACACTGCTCCAACAAGGTCAGTACCGGGACAGGACCAGTACCTTAGTAAGGTTGAATTCTAAAGGCACCTACCTGATACCAAACTGGAACTTTAGACCCTCCCTAGAAGTGCCACGTTGGCATGGAGATGTTAGGCGACTCAGGTTCTAGTCATATAACCAACCCGTCCTCGACTCAAGTCCATTACATTCAGCGGTCAACCCCACAGACGCATTCATAAATTTTAACATGCTGTTCATTCAAAACGGGAATTTTCTCAAGTATAGATTAATATTATAATATATTAGCATATTGTGTATAAATAGGCATAGGTTAGGTTAGGTCAGGTGTTTAGGTTCTGTTGGCGAATATTTGTATTTTTAGTACGTGGGTGAAGCATTTACAGCGTTGTGGTTCGAACAAAATTCGTCAGTGAAGCACTTGTTCCGGATATGTTCGAACGTCAGCAGTTGTGAGTCGTGTGTAAACCGCTTTTCATTCATAAACAGGGGGTTTGGCGGGTGCATGGAATCACTTTTGGATCTTTGTTTGGAGGACGGGCTGATATAACTTGCTAACCACATGAACATTAGCTGCTGGCTGCTGTTCATGTGGTCAGCGGTTTGAGGCTCCGATTGTCCTGGTGAATGAAGCGTAGGTCACTTAACACCTACATGCCAAAGTGGCACCCTCCAAGAGAGGCCTCAAGTTCCAGCTGAGCAGCAGATAGGTGCCTCTGGAATCCTTCCCTGTTAAGATGTGTTGACGGCCCTGACATGACAGGGGCTGATTTCATAGCTGTTAAAATACTGACTAACTTGGAGGATATTGATCCAGACAACCTCTACAAAAGGTCACACGTACACGGGAAAAGAAGCAACGGTTTCAAGTTTAGCAAGCCACAATGCAGAACGTAAAACAGGAGATGCTTCTTTTCACCCACGGGATTATAAACCCATGGAACCGCCTACCCGATGAAGCCGTAAATGCCAAGACACTGCTAAATTTCTAAATCCAGCTCGACAAAATTACCAGAACAAATGGGGGGACCTTCAACACGCTTCCTGTCAGGTCTACATATATATATATATATATATATATATATATATATATATATATATATATATATATATATATATATATATATATATATATATATATATATATATATATGTCGTACCTAGTAGCCAGAACGCACTTCTCAGCCTACTATGCAAGGCCCGATTTGCCTAATAAGCCAAGTTTTCATGAATTAATATATTTTCTCTAATTTTTTTCTTATGAAATGATAAAGCTACCCATTTCATTATGTATGAGGTCAATTTTTTTTATTGGAGTTAAAATTAACGTAGATATATGACCGAACCTAACCAACCCTACCTAACCTAACCTAACCTATCTTTATAGGTTAGGTTAGGTTAGGTAGCCGAAAAAGTTAGGTTAGGTTAGGTTAGGTTAGGTTAGGTAGGTTAGGTAGTCGAAAAACAATTAATTCATGAAAACTTGGCTTATTAGGCAAATCGGGCCTTGCATAGTAGGCTGAGAAGTGCGTTCTGGCTACTAGGTACGACATATATATATATATATATATATATATATATATATATATATATATATATATATATATATATATATATATTGTGTGTGCGTGCATGCGAAGGTCACCTAGTAAGAGGTGTATGGGAAGGTCACCTAGTAATGGCTGACTGAGAAGGCCACAGAATAAACTAAAAGGTCAAAGGAACAGTGAGAGATGGTTGAAGGTCACGGTCGTAACCAAAGGTCATAAAGTTTGGTAATAAAAACACAAAAGGCCAAGGCTACATCAATAAGGTCACGGGGACAAGAGCCAGCGGACAAAGCCACAGGTAAAGGTTAAAGAGACATTGTAAAAGGTTCTAGAGTACTATAGAGAAAGGTCGCGCGCCACCGGAACCGGCCGAGACACTGAATGTAGAAGAATCATAAACAAATCCACGAGGGCTGTGACGAGGATTCGAACCCAGATCAGAGAGCATCCCAGACGCTGCCTTAATCGACTGAGCTACGACATGGTCAATGTAATGGTTTTATGTAATCATAATTACATAACAAAAGAATCAAGGAAACTGCAGTAAGTATTCTTGAACATTTGTTATTATGAGTTGTCGTTAAACTCAAGTATGTTCTCGCACTCTTATCACATAGTGACGGAGGGTGAGCGAATAATTTTACTGACACAGTTTACACGTGGTCTGGTCTACATCAGCAGGTAAAATGCCCACACACACACACAGCACCGCTCCTGTGCCAGGTAGGGCCACTACGGGCTCACTATAGCCCGTGCTACTTGGAACTTGTTCCGAGTAGCTGAATCTTAACAACAGCAGGTAATGCAAACTCCCCGAGCTACTTATAAAATCTAAGCCTAGCAACAGTTATATATCCAGGAGTCTGTTGAATTTATTAAATAATCCATAACGTGGCAAAACAGATAAGGAATACAAAATATGTTGACCATACCACACACTAGAAGGTGAAGGGACGACGACGTTTCGGTCCGTCCTGGACCGGTCAGCCGAGCGGACAGCACACTGGACTTGTGATCCTGTGGTTCCGGGTTCGATCCCGGTCGCTAGCGAGAAACAATGGGCAGAGTTTCTTTCACCCTATGCCCCTGTTATCTAGCAGTAAAATAGGTACCTGGGTGTTAGTCAGCTGTCACGGGCTGCTTCCTGGGGGTGGAGGCCTGGTCGAGGACCGGGCCTCGGGGACACTAAAAAAAAGCCCCGAAATCATTTCAAGATAACCTCATCGCCTGCAATACAAAATATGTAACTTGCACACTAGAACATTATGTAAGTAGAATGCGAATTGGTAGATACATAGAGAAACAAGGAAATTGTAAGCACCAAACGCTGTTTGTCATGATGGATCCGGGTAGCCTGGCCAGCAGTGGGGTGTGCTGACCTCACATCTGACCCTTTGACCGCTGACCCCTTGGGGACGAGAGTGACCTCTGCATTACCCAGCTGGACCTTACCCCAGCCTCGTGAATGTTTCCCTCAGAGCACCGGTGTTCCCTTCCCCATACCTCACTCACCCTCCTCCCTATACAATCCAAATGGTTTACTGAATATTTCATTCTTGCGAGACGCCTTCTCCCAAGACTTCCTCACCCTTCTGGTATGCTTATACATATCCTGTATACACATACTTACATAAATATACATGTGTATATATATGTCTCCAGGTTTTATAGTTAGATACCTACTATAGAAACTAGTGTGTTAATAAGCACTTATAACCACTGAAGGTGGTCAACATACAGGAAGATCAATCTTCCTGTATGTTGGACGTATGTTTAATGACATATATTTAATAGCATATGTTGTGATTACATTGCTCGCCACTCACAGTGTAAGAGTGTGCACTCAGAGATCATGTCCACAGGAACATTATCTCAGTCACCATCACACCTTCAATATGGATCAATTTTGGTTTAGATTCAGCTACTGGGAACAAAAAAGTTCCAAGCAGCACGGGCTATGGCGAGCCCGTCGTTACTCACCTGGCACAGGAGATGTACCACCCGATCAATTAATATTTCTGTATCCGCATATACAATTTGAGTGATATGATACCTGGTTGATGGGGTTCTGGGAGTTCTAGTCCCCCAAGCCCGGCCCGAGGCCAGGCTTGACTTGTGAGAGTTTGGTTCACCAGGCTGTTGCTTGGAGCGGCCCGCAGGCCCACATACCCACCACAGTCCGGTTGGTCTGGTATTTCTTAGGACTTAGAGAAAAGTGTCTAGTTTTCTCTTGAAGATGTCCACGGTTGTCCCGGCAATATTTCTTATAGTCGCTGGGAGGAGAATGTTGAACAAACGCGGACTTCTGATGTTATTTTGGTCGTTTTAATATATTTGTGAAATTGCATAGTGCAATACGGCCACACTGGCGTAATGCGTATCTTGTTATAATTGCTTACACTCCTCTTACCTGGAATAATGTTAAAGACTGTACCTCTCTCAATTAGTTTAAGATAAAAACGAAGCACTACCTAATAAATTCCCTGTAACCTACCTTACCCCTCTATTGTCAATCCATGTCTGTTTTTTTTTAAACAACGCTGTTTGTCAACCTAATTGTATTTGTGCTGCTTTTTCAGCCATGTTCCCCCCTTTTTTATTTTTATTTGTTCTCAACACATTTTATACTTTATACTCAGTTAGTATTAAGTTAGTCATTAATGTTTTCCCTGCCCGAAACGCTTTGTGTAATAGTGGCTTTAGGAATTGTATGTACCAGCTCTATCTATAAATCTATCAATTTTTGTAAAATCTCTTGTATGTTTGTACCTTAGCTGAATACACATTTATTTATTTTATTATTTATTATAACATCCCCCGAAACTAACACCCGGACCTTGCCTGCACCAGGAGGAGCAGAAGGCGGCGGACACCCTGGCGGTGGAGTACCTGCGTACGGACCCAGCTGGCCGCGTCAAGGGCACCACCATCGTCAAGCTTAAACAGGGATTTGAACCACCCAATTTTACAGGATTTTTTGGCATATGGGACAACGACCTTTGGAACGTAAGTATTGATTTATGCACGTCTACGTTGTGGCTTGTGACAAACGTTTGTTGAGTGGAAATAAGGATTATAGACTATTAAAAACCAGTATATTCTTGACGATATAATCCATTTTCTTTCGCAGTGCTCTTGAGCTTGTTCTTGTCTTGGCTTTTGTCTCCTTCACTAGTATTAGTCTGTCTTTCTTGAGTGTATTCCCAAGGCGGTACAGCACTAACATGCCAACCCTTATCATCCACTTACTGCTCTTGTATCTCCTAAAAATCTTAATTCTAAACAATGATTACCGAGAGGAATGAATGCTGGCATTCCATTGAGTTTGTTCCCGTCAAACCAATTATTAACATATTAAATACTGGTTGATGCGCAGGATAATATGACATATGCGGACATATGTGAGAGGCTGGAGGAGGCGGCCCCTGGCGCTACAGTGCTGGTGACCTCGTCCTCCTCCAGCGGCACCTCCGGCAGAAGGGTCTACCCGCTGGCCACACTCAGGGAGAAGGACCCCGAGAAACTCCCGCCAGAAGTGGATCCCGTCCACAAGGAGGTGAGGTATACAGCTGCTGCGGTATTTACAACAAATTAAATATATAGAAAGATTACATTATTTCCCTATCGGGAGTCATCTCCCGTTACGCAGTGTGCAGTCGCACCTCCACAGATCTCCAGTATCATCTATTGATACTGGTAATGGCTCAAAAGGGCCACCACTTACGGGCTATTCATGCCCGTGCCACCTTTTGGGTGGCTTAATCTTCATCAATCAATCTTATTTCCCTGGTATTAAAAACCAATCTTAATTCATGGATTGTGGCACTAATCTGTAGTCATTCCATAATCAATCAATCTTGTGCACAATTTATATGAGTGTCTACTGTGTAAATGAGTTAAAAGTATTGGGAAAACAAAAACAAATCATTTGAAAACTGCTGCATAATTCATCTTGAAAATGCACAATTTTGTATTAATTAAATTGTGATTTCAATCACAAGACCTAAAAATTTGCTAAATAGTTACCCCTTAATTTTGTTTTTAATTCATACCAATATGAGAGAAAACGCAATGTATAAATCTGTATAACTACAGAAAAATTCCAAATAAACTTTTTCAAACTACTTTTCTATAATGTGGACATAACACCACAAGCTCTAAAATTATCAGCTTTTATGTACACAAAGTTGCTAATAACAAGCATGTTGGCACTTGTGGCAGCTGATTTCTCTTGATTTTTAATGTCAGTTGACGTAAGTTATGTGTGATCCTATTCACCAGCGTGTCAGATGACTTCTGTCGCAGCCTAAGGGTTAAACTATTGTGAAAGCCAAATTGCCTTATCCGGAAGGTTGACGTGAGGGAAATAACCAGATTTATACGTAAAAATAGTTACAGGTTTTTCGAGATGATATAAAATGTATTTTGAAAATACAAATTTTGCTTTGTTAAATGTTGAGATACAAATAAATATGCAACTACTGGTTTGAAAATAATGATACAGAGGTGAGAAGCACGTTACCAATTAGAATCATATATTTAAATTCACCACAATGATTATTATTATTATTTTCTTGTGGTTGGCAGGACTTCTTGAGCGACAGTGATTTCAAGAGTGTGTTCGGTGTTGAGCGCGACCACTTCAGCTCCATGCCACAGTGGAAAAGAAACAATCTAAAGAAAAAAGCTGGGCTGTTCTAAACTGTGCAGCAGCAGGTGTGGCGGCCCCACACTACTCGCCAGGGGTGACGCCAGCCACACTACTCTCCATGGGGGTGACGCCAGCCACACTACTCTCCATGGGGGTGACGCCAGCCACACTACTCTCCATGGGGGTGATGTTAGCCACACTACTCGTCCGGGGTGACAAGACACTACCCGATCTGGGTGACAAGTTGTCACTGACAACACACACACACACACTACTCGCCTGGGTGTATAAAAATGATAGAGGCTCGCGAAATTGCTGTGATGTCCTATTTTATGTTCATGGGTCCCCGGGTAGGTTAGGTCCGAAGACTTTAGTACCACAGTTTAGTGACCTTGGGCCAGATTCACGAAGTAGTTACGCAAGCACTTACGAACCTGTCCGTCTTTTCTCAATCTTTGGCGGCTTTGTTTACAATTATTAAACAGTTAATGAGCTCCGAAGCACCAGGAGGCTGTTTATAACAATAACAAAAGTTGATTGGCAAGTTTTCATGCTTGTAAACTGTTTAATAAATGTAACCAAAGCTGTCAAAGATTGAGGAAAGATGTACACGTTCGTAAGTACTTGCGTAACTGCTTCGTGAATCTGGGTCCTTGGCAACAGTCAGGAGGACGGGGTTCAGCTTCGTTCCTGTGTGTCTGTTTGCAGTTTGTTAGCAGCGAGGAATGATTGTGTTTGCTACTGGCATTGTTTCATACAATGTTCTCAAAATTTGTGAAATTAATTATTAAATAAATATTTCTGGACAGTGAACAATATCATATTTATTGATAATAAGAAAATTAGCACTTATAAATTTAAGAAATGCAAATAAAGCTCGTTTGAAAGTTAATTATTGTCTTTAAATTTAAGGATTCACTATCTCTTAGAGACGAGAGCAAATTGGTTCATGGTATAATGGGTTTTGTGTGCTGTTGACGGCGGCTGTAGTCCAACCCGTTCTCGCACTTGCTTACAGTCTGTGACATACTAATTGATTGTAAATATTTTAGTTTACCTTGAAAAGCTTCATAGAAAACACCGACCTCACCTAACCTTCTTAGTATGTTTAGATATGCATCTTATTGCTTCTTAATTACAATTATTACTTAACCTATCAACGTCTCGTCACTGGAGGAGTTCATCACCCTTCTCCTCGAACATTTCCTTCGCTGGCTAAATGAAATTCAGATTGATTTTGATCATTTATTAAGCAGCCCATTCCTAGCCTGTGAGCAGTAGTAGAAAAGATTACAGAGGCACATAGCTCGATCCAAAAATTCATTTAGCTAAGCAATTAAGTAACAATTTTGATAAGCTAGTTACATAGTTTAATCAATAGTCTTTTCATAGCACAGTTGATTCAAGAACTGGACCAAAAGTCTTCAAGTCGAGCATATAACCCATACGGGCTCACCATAGCCCGTGCTACTTGGAACTTTGTTCCAGGTAGCGAATCTTTAACAACAACAACAAGTCGAGCAATTTATGTCTGTGTTCAGCCAGTTACGTTCATAAATCGTGCTTTTCCTCCCCTTCCCATTTGAAATTTAGAAACATCACTTTTTTACTCCAAGTTACACATGTTTTTCTATGGTTTGTTTACATTTGATATTAGAGATATGAATGTTTTGAGCTCATCCTCAAAACTTTCTCAAAATGTTGGTTAAGCCAGTAAGCCGCCCAGCAGTTCCTGGCGGCACAAAGGCCAGAGGCTCGTTAATCCAGCCACCAAATCCCCTGATCTTCGACCATTTCTCGAACAGTGTTTTGTTACCATTGTTCGAATCGTACCTTTGTAAATAGTAATTCCTATACAAATATTTGCCAGCAAAACGTACACATCTAACCAAATTTAGTCCTAACTTAAAACCAAAATCTAATATATAATAATATTTATTTTAAATATGAGAAAATATCGATTTTGAATACATGGTACACGTCAAAAATCTACGAATGCGTCTTTGGGGGTCGACTGCAGCTTGTACGATCACTACCCCAGGATGGGTCAGGGGCTATGCTCACACACGCTGACCCCAATGACGCATTCGTTAATTTTGAGGTAATGTATAACCCAAAACGGTATTTTCCCGAATATAAATTAATAATATTTGTGTATAATAAAATTTGGCGTATAATTAGGCTTGGATAGGATAGGTGTACGAATTTTTATCTTCTTAAATGTAGCACATAGTTTTTATTATGTTGTTAAATGCAGCACATAGATGGAGCATTTAAATAGGGGTGAATCGAGCACAGGTAGAGCGCGAAGCAATGTTATAGAAAGATTCAAATGTGATTGATTGTGATTTATGTACAAAGTTTGTATTTATATACTAGGAGTTTGGAGGTAGGATTGACAAATTGGCCATTGTTTGCGAGAGCGGCTGCTCTATTATTTATTGTTGTTGAAGAAAGATGACGGCTTGATGACAGACTGGATATGAACCCCCTCAAAACAAAAACTTGCTGTTCAAAAGTTCAAAACCAGTTCCAAAGTTGCCTCGATGGACCCTTTATATGTCATCACATTGTGCGTTTATAAATGCTTGTTATTTGTGTCAAGATCAATAAGAATGGTGTAAATATATTGTTTGAAGAAGTGTTCCTGTCTCATTTGAACCTTTAGGTAGTTAAGATCCGGTAGCAGATCCCAGGTGTTTCTTATTTCCGCTTCACTAAACTTATTTCCACTCTATACAGACGCAGTCTTGTCGAATTGGCTCACATATACAACATATCCAACACGGATCTCAGTCCGAAATTAACAGACTGTTATTTATTTACATAGAAACCAGAAGGTACATTGGGTTTATGAGAGTACATAGCATGGTGCTTTTACATTCTTGTAAAGCCACCAGTAAACATAGCGTTTCGGTCAGGTCCTTAATCTAACAGATTAAGCAGGTAATTTTTAGCAAAATTTATAACATGTTAACAGGTACACTGTAACAGGTACTATGAATGAAATTAGGTACTTTTTGTTTTGGTTTTTGAATGAGGCAAGAATTTGACAGCTTTTCAGTTCGTTAGGGAGTGAGTTCCATAGACTAAGGTCCCTTTATTTGCATAGAGTGTTTACACAGATTAAGTTTAACTCTGGGGATATCAAAGAGATATTTATTTCTGGTATGGTGTTTATGTGTTCTATTACATCCGTCCAGGGAGAGATTCAGAACGGGTTTTACATTTAAGAACAGGGTTTTGTAAATGTAGATGGTACAGTAGAATGTGTGGAGTGAGTTTATGTTTAGCATCTTTAGAGATTTAAACAGGGAGGGGGGGGTGAGTGTTGTCTGAAAGCAGAGTTTGTTATTGTTCTGATAGCAGATTTTTGCTGGGTGATGATGGACTTGAGGTGGTTTGCAGTGGTTGAACCCCATGCACAAATACCATAAATAAAATAGGGATAGATTAGTGCATAATATAGCGAGATGAGAGCAGAGTTAGGTAAATAATATCTGATTTTAGAGATTATACCAACTGCTTTAGAGACTTTCTTAGTTTTGTGTTGTATGTGGGTGCTGAAGTTGAGTCTCTTGTCTAAATATAGGCCAAGAAACTTTCCATCATTTTTATCGCTGATGTTAACATTGTCTATCTAAAGCTGAAATGCATTTGTTGATTTGCTTCCAAATAAGATGTAGTAGGTCTTTTCTATGTTTAGTGTGAGTTTGTTGGTTGACATCCATAAGTGGATCTGAGTAGATGAGGGTAGTATCGTCAGCAAATAACATAAGTGTAAGAATGTTAGAGACATTAGGCAGAACATTGATGTATATAAGAAATAGGAGAGGTCCTAGCTAGGATACTGCCCTGTGGCACTCCTCCGGTTAGTGGGAGAGGTTATATCATTGATGGCTACACATTGGTGTCTGTCACTAAGATAGGATCGGATATAGTTCAGGGCAAGGCCTCGGATTCCATAATGGTGGAGTTTAAGTAAGAGGTAGTTATAGTTAACAGTATCAAAGGCCTTTCTCGAATCAATGAAGAGTCCAATCGGAAACTCATTTTTGTCAAGGGCTGAGTAGATTATATCAAGCAGACTAATAATTGCATCGTTGGTACTCTTTTGGGAGCGGAAGCCAAACTTACAGGAGCTGAGTAGGTCGAATTTTACAAGGTAGGAGTAGAGCTGTTTGTAAATCATTTTTTCAAATGTTTTTGATAATATAGGTAGGTTTGATATTGGTCTGTAATTGTTTATGTCTGCCGGATTGCCTCCTTTATGAACTGGCGTTACTCTTGCTTTTTTAAGGATATCAGGAAAGGTATGACACTAGAGATTTGTTGAACTGCAGAGCTATGGGTAGCGGGAGTGTCTCCCATGGGCATGGGAGACACTCTTGTACACCATGGATGGTATTTCACTAATGTTCCCAGCTGTGGTTTTTAGTGAGTGAATGATGGACACAGACAGCATCTGTCGGGCTGACTGGTTGTTACGACCCTGGGTTCCTCAAGTGGAAACCAGAGGTTAAAATTGAACTAAATAAGCTACGCTAGATTAACAAGACGCAAGTCGATGTGACTGTTCGTATCTTCCCTGCCAAACGTAGGAAAAGATAGTATGGGTAACTGCCTGTAAGATATGTGGTAACATATGTCTGAGTCTCAGGGATTTTTCTGGCAAGGTTAGCAACAACTGATGAAAAGAAGCTATTAAATTAAGTTGCCATTTCTAAATCAGTTGCCGGTGTATAGCCATCCTTGGAGAGTTTTATCTGGTTACGTGAGTGTTGTTTAGTTCCTAGGATCTTAGAGATGGTTTTCCATGTGCTTTTCATGTTGCCTTTTGTTTCTCTGAATTTACTCTCATAATAGGAAAGTTTTGCTTTTCTTATTATACTGGTAAGCATTGATGAAATAACTACTTCCTTTGTAACTAGGCCAATCCTAAGTTTGTTCATATTCATGTTTCTTGTTGACTTCTTTGCATATGCCACTTGTGAGCCAAAGATTGTTTATTCTTTTGTCAGTTACTTGCTTGGTGAGGAGAGGACAATGAGAATTGTAGAGGCTTAGAGTTTTGGAAAGGAAGAGGTTAGCTAATGAATTTATATCCTGTGTATTATTGAATTCAGATTCCCAGTTAATATTGTGAAGTGCATTTGTAAGGTTGCCTATTACTGCTTCACTATGTAGCCTGAAGGTAAGTTTCTTGTTTTCTGGTGGTGTTATGTCAATGTTTGCTAAGAGAAAGTTAGGATAGTGGTCAGTTGTTCTGTCAGTGATTATACCAGATGCAAGGGGAGCTGTTGTGTTAGTCCATAAGTGATCCAAGGTAGTAGCGGATGTTTGAGTGATTCGGGTGGGCTTGGTGATTGTGGGGTTAGCATATAGGAGTTCATGCTGTTTAGGAAATAGTCGACCTGAGGGCTATTTTGTTGACATGTCAATATTTAAGTCTCCTCCTAGAATGATGTGATTTTTGTTGAGATTGTTGTTTATGTTGGGTCAATGTCGGAAGAGATTGAAAAGCCTTGGCATGTTGTGGAAAAGGAGTTTTGTCCCTGTGTTATCCATGATGTACTTGAGTACGGCAAGATCCTTTATTGATTATGCTGCACCTGTCATTTCTTGGTAAATGTAGACTAAACAAGTTGGAGAAGGTACAAAATTAAGTTATGAGAATAATCTTAGGATGCCCAAGAAATGTTATGATTGAGATAATAAAGATGGAATTAAACTTACAGCGTATTTGGGATAGAATTTCGGAGATAAAGGTAGCCTAGGCGATTAGATTAACGAGAGGCGGAGGACCTACTGAATTAATCCTCTCACTTCAAAAGGTAGGAAGTAATGAACAATGCATGTTGAAGTATAATAAGAAAACATATTAGAACACAAGGTTCTCATGTTATAAAGTATGTCATTCAAGAATGTATTGCATTGCCTAAGGACACCACCACGGGAGAAATGTAACGTAGATGTAGTAATTATTCCCCTACAAAAGAAAAGGAGTATGAGATAGGACAACCGAGTGCAACATATGATTATATAATTAAAAAATTACATAAAAAAACACTCCTCCAAGTTTAAGTTTCTTTATTGGGACAATAAAATCTACCTCAAATGGATAGAGTAGCCTACCCTATTTCTACTTAAAGTCCCTCAAGGGGTGCACAAATCCAGTGAGAACAAATCCACAAATCACAGTAGAAGAATCCCATTTAATATTGCAGGCTAATACAGTAAGCACAGCATAACACGCCTACATGTATATTGGGATAGGTCAGTGGCTAGGGATGGAAAGGCAGGGTGTGGAGTCAAGCTGCAGATTAGGGAGAACACCGACAACTGCACCCTCGATATTGCTATTCAACACCGCTGAACTGACAATGTCTTTTCGACGCACGCTGAATTTCAAGTTGTATTAGCGAGCTTAACAGAAATAGTAATATGTGGTAAAGATTAAATAAATAAGATAAAGATAAAGTTTCTTTATTAATAGTAGAGGAGCGTTTGGAGCCCTTAAATAGCACTATACCAGCATATTGTGAGCGAGTGTAGAGAGAATATTGACACTAACAAAAAACTGGTATAAAGTAAGGTTTATGTGGAACCCCTCACACGTGTGAATATTACTGTATTATAGTTGATGAAATAGCAAAGAGAGCCACGGAAAAAACTCTTGACGATGTTGTATCTCAAAAAAACAAATAAAGGTAAGAATCAAGATGATCCAAGAGGAAGAAGAAAAAGTTAAGAGAACAGCAATGGTGGACAGCAGTAACACACTTAAGCATCATGAAATAGTAAACACACATTCGTCCTTCACTTTAGGTAGAGGAAAGTCTACATGGAAGGCTTCAGTTTACATGATTGATTGATTAAGATTAAGCTAACCAGGAGTTGGCACGGGCATGAATAGCCCCTAAAGTTTACATGAGATTAGGATTAGGATGTAAATATTACTGGCAATACGGTGCTAATGTCAGTGAAAACAAATAATGAATGCAGATTAGGATTAGCTTAATCCAATTAGTATTAAGCTTTAGTCATTAATGTTTTTCATGCCCAAAACGCTTTGCGTAATAGTGGCTTTAGGCATTGTATGTACCAGCTCTATCTATAAATCGATCAATCTTTGTAAAATCTCTTATATGTATGTACCTTACCTAAATAAACATTTATTTATTATTATTATTTATTTATTATGTAGTATGTCGCACGCCCACACCTTAGATCACTATGTAGAGTTCAAATTGCTTGATAACTATAGAAATAAAAAAAATCAGCATGTCTCATTACTATGAAATAATGCACATATTTGATGTGTGTATTGTCACACATCAAATTGTTTGGAAGAGTGATAATGGAATGATAGAGAGAATTCCTAGGTGGTACAAAATACAGTTTGTAATAAGTTGTATGAAATGCCTATTGGAATGTGAAATGTAAAATATGATATGTGTACTGTGTGGACTTGTGAGCCCCCTTGAGGGACTTGAAGTAGAGGAGGGTAGAAATAGCTTAAGCTACTCTATCATTTTAGATGTATCATATTGTCTCAATAAGCTTGTACCGTGGGAGAAGCCTATCTTCAAAACTATAATACAAGCTCTTCTAATGAAAAAAGGATTTCTACGATCCATCAGGCCTAAGGCGCATCATAGATCAGCAAATGAGCAACATAGCAACACCAGAAGCCACCCACATCTTCACAGATGGGTCAGTGGACAGAGAATATGAGTGTGCTGGCGCTGCTCTATGCACAGACGGCCAATATGCATATAAGAGACTATCAGGATATGTATCATTATCCCAAATTGAGGTGTTTGCCATTCAACAGGTATTCGCACAAAACAGTCACAATAGAGCGGGGTTGGAAGCTAATTGAGGCTAGAGCCTCCAGCTTCCTCTTTCAGCGCCTCAGCGTGGCAATGCAGAGAGGAAACGCACACTGCATCCATGGTTCCTGCCCGCCATCTGTTGAGCTGGAGGAACTCGACAACCTGTGTCAATAGTCGTGTTCTTTGCATGTGACCAATGTTGTAACCCATTTTGTGTAATGAAATTTTAAATAAAATAATATAATCAAATATATTTCCCTAAAGGGAGAACTCATTGGGCAGCGTCACTCATCCTATGAGTGAACATACCGCCATACTGATAGTATTGGGCAGCGTCACTCATCCTATGAGTGAACATACCGCCATACTGATAGTATTGGGCAGCGTCACTCATCCTATGAGTGAACAGACCGTCATAGTGACAGTAATGGGCAGCGTTACTCATCCTATGAGTGAACACACCGCCATAGTGACAGTATTGGGCAGCGTCACTCATCCTATGAGTGAACATACCGCCATAGTGACAGTATTGGGCAGCGTCACTCATCCTATGAGTGAACATACCGCCATAGTGACAGTATTGGGCAGCGTCACTCATCCTATGAGTGAACATACCGCCATAGTGACAGTATTGGGCAGCGTCACTCATCCTATGAGTGAACACACCGCCAAGTAGCATGTATTGTACATCCCACCACAGTGGCTGAGGCTGTAAAGATAAGATTAGATTTAGAATCTGATGCACTGTCAAATAATACAAAGATAAATCTTTTGTTTGCTATTGATGTATTCTGCTTGCACGACGGCCTATACATTTGTAATATATATATATAATATTTTTATAATATATTTATATTTATACATAATAGCTAGTAATAAGATTTTCTAGATCGTTTTAATGAATCTTATGTGGCTCTATCGTAAATTCAATACTATTTCCACATTTGATTCCAAGCGATGCAATAAGATTGACAACATTTATAATTGAATGAACAATAGGGAGCACAGTATATCCCGCCAACGCTTCCCGCCGGTCCCTACGCCTTGTCCCGCCATCATTCTCCCTCAGGCTAAATGTGCCAAATTTTATTTTATTGATAATTATATCAATTAATTTTCTTGTATTGTGTAAGTAAAAACACATTTAGATTGATAGATGTTATTTATTTTAATAGAGTTTGTGTAATGGGTGCATAAATGTGTACATAAGGGGAAAGTATGCGTGTAGTATGTTAGAGACTTGGCACCGTTGGAGGTGAGGCGGCCTGTGATTGGCTGGCTTGGAGCTCACGTGACGTCGGCCAACAAGCGGCGTCAGGGCGGCCATTTCTTGAACCGCGCCCGGACTATCAGCACGGTCGCCGCGCTCTGCCCAGTGTTTTTTAACTTCTTAACTGTAGTTAACGCGAGACGACAGCCGTGTTGTGAAGGCTGAGGCGCCGTGCGGAGCCCCGTGCCGTTGACGAGGTGAGGCGCGCCGGACCTGACGACGGAGAACTTGAGTATTCTCGAGATATAAATATAGACGGTCGGCCATTGTTGGCGAGGGAGTGAAGAGCTGAGGGACGAGGAGCACAGCGACCATGGCGTCCTCAAGTAAGTATCTGTAGAGCATGTTGGGTGGGCGGGGAGGGGCGGCGTGGGCGTGCGGGGCGGCGGCGGGCGCGGATGGCGGGTGTTGGGCTGGATGAAAAGTGTTGCGGGTGAGGCCGGCGGCCCCCATGTGAGGGGCCCGGCGTGGGGCCCCTCACGCCGCCCCCCCTCTCCCCCTACACGCTTATTGTGGCGTGGTGGCCCCGGGCGACGCCGGGTGCGGCCCGCACGTGGCGTGGCGGGTGAGGAGGGTGCAGGTGGATGAGCGTGGCGTCACTGGCGCTGCGTTGGGTGAATGATTGGCGCCACTGGCGCGTTGGGTGGATGATTGGCGCCACTGGCGCGTTGGGTGGATGATTGGCGCCACTGGCGCGTTGGGTGGATGATTGGCGCCACTGGCGCGTTGGGTGGATGATTGGCGTCACTGGCTAGTAGGGTGGATGATTGGCGTCACTGGCGCGTTGGGTGGATGATTGGCGTCACTGGCGCGTTGGGTGGATGATTGGCGTCACTGGCGCGTTGGGTGGATGAGTGGCGTCACTGGCGCGTTGGGTGGATGAGTGGCGTCACTGGCGCGTTGGGTGGATGAGTGGCGTCACTGGCGCGTTGGGTGGATGATTGGCGTCGGGGGCGAGTTAATTGGATGATTGGCGTCACTGGCTAGTAGGGTGGATGATAGTGGCGTCACTGGCGCGTTGGGTGGATGATACTTGATCAACCAGGCTGTGACTCATACGTCAGGCTGCGAGCAGCCGCGTCTAACAGCCTGGTTGATCAGTCCAGCAACCAGGAGGCCTGGTCGACGACCGGGCCGCGGGCACACTAAGCCCCGGAAGCACCTCAAGGTAAGGTAGTGGCGTCACTGGCGCGTTGGGTGGATGAGAGTGGCGTCGGGGGCGAGTTGAGTGGATGATTGGCGTCACTGGCTAGTAGGGTGGATGATTGGTGTCACTGGCTAGTAGGGTGGATGATTGGCGTCACTAGCACGTTGGGTGGATGATAGTGGCATCACTGGTGCGTTGGGTGGATGATAGTGGCGTCACTGGCGCGTTGGGTGGATGAGAGTGGTGTCGGGGGCGAGTTGAGTGGATGATTGGCGTCACTGGCTAGTAGGGTGGATGATTGGCGTCACTGGCTAGTAGGGTGGATGATTGGCATCAATGGCTAGTAGGGTGGATGATTGGTGTCACTAGGAGTTGGGTGGATGAGCTTGGCGTCGGTGGCGAGTAGGGTGGATGATTGGTGTCACTGGCTAGTAAGGCGGATGAATGGCGCCACTGGCTAGTAGGGTGGATGAGCGTGGCGCCACTGGCTAGTAGGGTGGATGAGCGTGGCGCCACTGGCTAGTAGGGTGGATGAGTGTGGCGCTACTGGCTAGTAGGGTGAATGAGCGTGGCGCCACTGGCTAGTAGGGTGGATGAGCGTGGCACCACTGGCTAGTAGGGTGGATGAGCGTGGCGCCACTGGCTAGTAGGGTGGATGAGCGTGGCCCACTGGCTAGTAGGGTGGATGAGTGTGGCGCCACTGGCTAGTAGGATGGATGAGCGCGGCGCCACTGGCTAGTAGGGTGGATGAGTGTGGCGCCACTGGTTAGTAGGGTGGATGAATGGTGTCACTGGCTAGTAGGGTGGATGATTGGCATCACTGGCTAGTATGGTAGATGAATGGCGTCACTAGGAGTTGGGTGGATGAGCGTGGCATCGGTGGCAAGTAGGGTGCAGTGAGGATGAGCATTGTGTTGGTGGCATTGCGGGTGAGGGTGCAGTGTGGATGAGCGTGACATCGGTGGGCATGGTGCCGAGTGTGGGGATGTACTTGTGTAATGGTGCATGTGGGGGTTTGAGCTTTAGCTCTTCGGTTCTGCCTCAACTACCAATCAAATGGTGTAAAAATTTAGCTGTTTGGGCTCTTGTATCATTTGGAACCGTGTGATGTCTGATGCCACCACATATCTACTTGAAGTTTTACCTATTAAATTAACAGCCGACACTGAAAAAGTTATCTAATGTCTGTGGCTTATTTTGGTAAAATGTTTGTACTTGTCCACCTGTGCATGTTCCACCCATGTTCTTTTCTACCTTTACATGTCTGATCATTTTGGTGATAAATATCTTCCCTAACTTGTCTAAGGTGCCAGTGATGTGAAGTTTAAATGCAGTAGCTTACCTCTTACATCTAGACTCTCTAACATTCTTTCCTGACTAGATAAGGACTCGCTGGAATTGCATACTTAGAATTGATTTGACATGTGGTATAAAGTACCAGGATCCAGGTCTTTGAGGTGGTCACATTCAGGCAGTCCTTGAATTGTTTCCTCTGCCCCCCAACTGAACTCATGCTTTGATAATTCTCCATATAGAAGCCGTTTTGGAAATCGGCTTTCGGGCAATCTGACATGGGACTACATTAGCCGTCTTCCAACTTGTTAGGTCTCCTTTGTGACCTTTTATAGGGTGCAGTACTTCTGCTCATTTAGTGTACATGGTGAGATTGTCAGGTCCAATAGCCTCTTGTCCAGTTCCAGAAGATGCTTCCCAAACTCGTTAATTTCATGTGTGAAGGGAAAAGCAGGGTCTTTGGGGATGGCATAGTCGGAACCTGTCCTCAAATGAAGTACACCATTCAATTTGGTACACTCATGCCAAGTGCATGATACACATGAATGTATTTAGTAATCAACTGTTTTGAATTGAAGAATCAAAACTTGTTACTAAAATGTCGAGACCACTATTTTTTTTACATCGTGATAGTGTAGATTTTAAGGTCCATTACAAGGAAGGTTCTCAAGGTGTCAGTTGTACTTATTTATTCTGAAATATTAGAATGTCAAATCTTTATTAAATCTTTATTTATTATTTAAGACAAGTCTCAAGATATGTATAATCTTGGCAGCATTGTTCATACTGAACCATTTATTCTTGAATAAAATATTCAAGAGAAAGATTAATAATTAATTTAACTCAAACTGGCTTCAGCTGGTTTATTGGTATTATTGCTTGTTGCTTGAAGCTGAACTTCAATTTTCAGCATTTCTTTAGTGATGAAATCAGTGTGCAGTATTCTAAAATGAACGTTTTTCATATTTATCCTTTTTCCAGTTGCCTCAAATTTGGGTTTCTGCATAGGTCTATTGAGATTTGTTTGCATATAAAATGAGCATATAACAAATAAAATCTCATCATGGGTAAAAGTGCCCCAACAGCGGGCCAGTGTTATGTCCAGTATTCCTGCATGGTGACCAGCAATGTAGAAGTCAGACTTGAGGTTTTTTTTTTTTGCGAGGTGTTCTAAAAAAATATTTATTTAATCCCACGGTTATAATAATACTGCATCCATACAAGCATGGACTTGTTGCAGTCCCTCTTCTTAAACGTTCATAATGTTAATCTTCTTAATGTTCGTAATGAAATTGGAGATGATGCAATTTTGCGAGGTGCTATGAGTTTTAGTATGACTTGCTGTTGCGATAGGGATTTTTACATCAGAATATTGTGCTATGCAAGACAGGTTGTTGCCAGTCTGCAAAATTGGCTTTTGAGCACAACTTCAAACATGGCAAATAAATATTCTGGTAAGATTTAAATTATTTTGTGTTTGAGGAAGGTTAAGAAATCAGTCTCCTGGCATAAGTATTTGGCCAAATTATAAATCATCCCCATCCCAAAGTCGAAAGTAAATGTATTCTAGTCAGTAACATGGCTGAAATTTAGACACCTAACCAATATATCTGAAAATATTGTCCATCCTGGACCATTATAAAATAATTACAAGACTATATAACGGTCCAGGACAGACCAAAACATTAATTCTTTTGTATTAAAATTTCTAGGTTGGGATTTCTAAGTATCGTTTTAGTGGCTAGTGCTGTGGCTCATGTTTATTATTGTGTGTGAAGATGGCTCCTGCTTACTGTTGCAGATCATAAGTAAAAATGCACCCCACATGCATTTTGCCATGCATGGAGATTTTTTTTGTTTCTTTACATCTGCTCCAGAGACTTGCTATCGCAGAGTTTGGTAAAGCTGTACGGTCATTGAGGTCTGACTTAACTCAATCTGCAAGTGTGGCTTGCAGATTGTTAAACAAGATGGTTAGCTATTAAATTATAATAAACTTCATAACTGGTACAAATATTTTTCACCAAGATAGCAGATTGGCTGACATTGGTTATATTTTTAATGCTCTGGTTTCGTATTTACCATTAACTAAGATACGACAATAGTCAAATTATTGGTAAACCATTTCACTTTACTTTAAAACTTGATATTTGTGACAATTTTACGACAATTTGTCACCACCCTAAATAGTATTAACGAGAACAAAATTGAGAATAAAGTTAAAAGAAAGTATTGACAATAATTTGGTAATAAAGCTGAGCATAACTGTTGGTTTTTGTTTTTTGTTTTTTCTAATGGAGAATTTTTGTAGAAAATGAGTGAAATATTATCTTATTAAATTTAGTGATTATTGAAGCTTGATATTAATTGGAAATTTTATGATTTTCAGCATCTACAATGCCTCCTAAAACAAAGATATTTGTTGGCAAATTACCACCAACATGCAAAGATTTTGAACTTCGTAAATTGTTTGAGAGGTATGGGGAAGTGACAGAGTGCTCCATTCTTGGGAATTATGCCTTTGTACACATGAAAACAGAAGAACAGGCAGCAACAGCAATAAGGAACCTTAACAATTGGGACATGAATGGCTTTAAAATCAGTGTTGAGGTATGTTCAGACAGTTTTTTTGTATGCATATATATTTTGGTTAATAACCTTACCCCCACATGAAATTAGTTAAAAGGTCTATTTCCTTTTTGAACAATTAAGATGAACGCACAAGTCATCACTTCAATTTGTGGGTTCTTTTTCAGCCACAACTTTTACTGGTTTACAGATATACAAACTTGCACATGTATAAAAGGTCATTTGTTTGTCAATAGTTACAAATGTAAATTTAGATATGATATTTAGACTACGTTACAAAAATCTTTAATATAAATTTTCTTTTGATAGCAATCAACAGGAGAAAAGCGGGCTGGCGGAATGGGTGGTATGGGAGGTCGTGGGGGAATGGGTGGTGGCTTTCGTGGGCGTGGTGGACCCATGAGAGGACGAGGCATGGGCCGTCCAGGCCCATATGACCGTAGACCCCCAATGGGTGATCGTTATGGTCCACCACCTCCAGGTCCACCCCCAGCACCTCCCATGCGAAATGGCTATTATGATGATTACGAACGCCGTGATCGTCGTCCTCTTCCACCAGCAGGAGCTTTAGATCGCCGGCCACCACCACCAATGCCAAGAGAGCCAGCATACAGGGACCCATATGACCGCTATGATTCTTACGATCGTATGCCCCCACCACCCATGGGTCGTCGCACTCCGCCACCTATGGACCGTCGACCTCCTCCCATGGGATATGACCGCAGAGATGACCCATATGGAGATATGTATGGACCAAGACCAGAGTAGGTTTCATATCTTTTTCCATAATGTTGGCTAAGCGCATGTATTTTGAGTAATGTTGCTGCTTTATAATTTTTATGTATGATGTAATCATTGCAAAGATTGCCAGATAAATCCATATTCATTTTGCTTCCTCTGAAACACAAGATTTGGGCCACAACCTGTCCTATCATTTTCAGTATGCCCAAGACAATGCCATTAGCCTTCCTGCTGTTTAAAAGCAGTAATCTAGACTAACTGTTGCAGTGTAATCTGATTCCTGTACATGTTCTTTGGCTACATCGTGCCACCGGCCATACACACCCGCACCAATGTGTACTACTCCTGTTTTCTCACGTCAGTTTTTTGTTACATCGTTCAATTTGATATCAAATTGTTCACAATAGAATTTTCTAAAGGCATATGCATACAAGGTCAAAAAGCCCGGCGTGCCACCCGCATCAAACCCGAAAATTGGCCGAGCGCTACCCATGAGCGAGCACCCCAACACTAAAATGTGTGTACTCTGTTCAGTTTTCTCCTCAATTTTCATGCGTTGTTCATTCTGGTATTGAATTGTTCACAATCTATAAAAAATAAAGGCGTGTACATTTTAAAACTAATTATAATTGGGGAAAAAATTGAATTTAAACAAATGTTTTAATTATGGACGCAAAATGCGTCACCGCCAGACATCCGTCGAGTTATTTATAGACACAATATCCATCCTCACCGGAGGAAAGTGTTAAAATCATTTAGGAACATTAACACTATCGGTAACTTTGGACCGGACTTGCGTCCACTACAAAAAATATTTGTATAAAATTCATTTTTTATCCAATCGACCTCAGAATAGTATCAAAATTAGCGCCTTTAGAATGCGCACAATTTGATACCAAAATGAAAGATGTAACATGAAACTTGATGTCCGAACACTTATATGGTTATAAATAGGCTTTTGGTCAAAATTTTTAAATATTTGTTAAAATTCTATTTATTATGCTATTGTGTTGGGACTAGTTTTAAAATGCGCGCCTTTACGTTGCGAACAATTTGATACCAAAATGAAAGATGTAACAAAAATTTGTCAGAACACTGGAAAGATATAAATAATTTTGTGATGATGAGCTCCCAGAAATAAAATTTTCGTTAAAATTCCAGTTATTGCTCTATTATTATGGGGCTAGTTTTAAAATATGCGCCTTTGTATTGCGAACAATTTGATACCAAAATGAAAGATGTAACACGAGAATTGATGTTATCAAATTGAACGAGTATACACATTAGGTTGCAGTGTACAAACTGGTGCTCGTTCACGGGTAACTGTAGGCTTTTCTGCGGGGAGGCACTCCAAACTTTTGTACATTATATTCATACACATCTGTAGGGAATTTAATTGCGAACACAATACCAAAATGAGCAACGTAGCACGAGAATTAAGGTGATAAAAATGGAACGAGTGTGCACATTTTACTGATTTTGTGCGCTCACGGGTAACTTTAGCTGACTTTAGGCTTTGCTGTTGGGAGTCACGCCAGGCTTTTGGACATTATATTTATACACTCCTGTAGGGAATTTAATAGTGAACACAATGATACCAAAACGAGCGACGTAGCACGAGAATTAAGGTGAGAAAGCTGAAACGAGTATACATATTTAGATGTAGCCGCGCTTGCCCGCACGTCGGGTACATGACCTCTATGTTGACCGCACGCCTGTCTGGTGACCGATAGTGTTAAATGTTAGACAAATTTGTTGGGCTATAAAATAATTTTTTTGTGGTCTCTGGTTTGTCATCTATTATTTTGTGTGTCCTTTTGTGGGTAGGATTGTGGAACATTATTAATTTATGGAGTTAAGTCCTTATTAAGTTGGGGGTGTGATAAGTGTTAATTTATGCATGAAAATGCCTATTTTTATTGGTTGTGTGTTGGGTTATAGCCACATGTCCTCCTTAATTGCAACCCTTTGGTTTTTTGCTGTAATGTTAAAAAATGGAATTTATATAGTTCAAAGTGTGGAACATCACTGCTCAATTATGGGGCTCGTGTGACATGTAAATTGTATTCTACGATCAATCAAACAGGGTTTTTGCTGTTATTACACTATACACACACGTATATACCTATCTACATGTATTCACCATAACGAACCACTAGATTGGTATGGCGACTCAAAACAAGAAGTGACAGTGACACAGCAGCTAACAGACACTGCCACCCTCCCTCCCTCGTGTAGTGCAAGTGCACTGCACTTGCCAACATTCCTCTCACCAACTCTCTCGTTGTTGCACTATTTACACATGTTTTATATAAGTATCTACATGTTCACCATAACTGATGAATAAAATTAAGCATTCATTGGTTTACAACTAAGATGGTATGGTGTCCAAACATAGTGGCCACAAAAACAATGACAAGTGACACAGCAGCTAGGTGACAGCCTCCCTCACTCGCCACAAAAGATTCTCGGGAATTGATAGGGTAGATAGACACTAACACCAGGAGCACATGCACTTAAGGACACAGGTGGAAATTGAGTACCCAAATGAGCCATATGGACAATAGAAAGACTTTTTTCAGTGTCAAGAGTAGTTGACAAATTAAATGCCTTAGGAAGTGATGTGGTGGAGGCTGACTACATACAGTTTCAAGTGTAGATATGGTAGAGCCCAGTAGACTCTGGAACCTGTACACCAGTTGATTGAAAATTGAGAGGTGGGACCAAAGAGCCAGAGCTCAACTCCTGCAAGCACAACTAGGTAAGTACTCCCTTGCCAACATTTCTTACCAAAATGACTCCTCCAAACATACTAATTTGCTATTATAACACTATATACGCAAACACACACCCCTTGTAAATAAGTATCTACATTTGTGTTCACCATAGCAAACCACTAAGCTGGATGGAGAGTCTTAAACAAATAAACGAATGGCTGCCACACACCAGCCAGCTAATGCTACCTCCCTTCCTCACCAAGATTCCTCCTCCCACCATACTATGCGCATTGTTAATTCTCACTACAGTGCTATTATCATCAGAATCCTGGTCACTAAATCCTATAAATGAATAATTTTTTGCAAGTTTATTTTGTAATGGAACATGGAAGTCATTTCAAGATTTTTAGGTGGACCAAACAGTGGCAGTGTGCTTTGGCTAGTGCTTTAGACATCTTGAGCAGCATTGTGTTGCTGTAGTCACAAGCTGAACAGCAGTGCTATTAGCTCCTGCGTGCACCAGCCTTGGTTGCTCACTCAACCAAGGCTCTGAGTGAGGCTCTCGCACTTGAAAATGTTGCCTACGATTTAAGAAAAGAAGGCGTCTGTTTACTAGAGCCCTGAGGAAGCCGATGTGAACCCCGTGTAGCCGTGGGAGTTTTGAATCCCACGCAGTACATACTAGCGCCCTCAATCTAGGTGCCTAAAGGTATTCTGCGCAATGCTGTGGTTAAAGTAACGGGTGAATTTTTTATATTTACAAATGCTTTATACTAATGATACTGGTTTTGTGTCTACCAATAATTACCTAACATATTTGCTCTCCTCGGTTGTACAAGTTTTTTCAATTGCACCTTCCAGGTAAGTAAAGGCTTCTAACAATTTTCATGTTCACATTGTACACTTTAACTTCAGACTGGCAGTTTTTCACAGTTTAACTTTGACAAGTTTACAAATGTCCTGTCACCAACCACAATACATTTATACGTTGATCTATTTATTTTAAATAAGTTTCCTGTTACTAAAATTGTACAGTACATGTGTAAATCCCTTGCTCATCTATCATCTAGTATCATTTGTATACACCAGTGTATATGTTAGTTGTGCGCTGGTTACTCCTGATCATGCTCATCTTAACTACCTTGTGAACCCCATGCAAGAATTGAAGTGATGCACTATTGAGCAACCAAAGGCAGTCACAACACCAACTTGTAGGATAGAAACTTGCCACAATCTAGCAGAATTGAATACATTCATAAGTCACTTAAGCCATGGAAGTCACCAAGATTATTTACATACCATTAACACCAGCAGATTCAGATTCAGAAGTAAGATTCAGAATTGCTTGTATTTGTGTATACATTATATTTTCTTGCTGAATTAACTTTCTGGTAAATGGTTTTGGTGATTTTTCAGGGCTACATTAGTGAGGTTTGATTTAGTGCTAAATTTTATAACTGTATGCTCTTAATTTTGTAAAATTAATAGCATAAGTTGTATAGATATTCAGTGTTAAAATTTGACTGTACCTCTTGTCCATAGACGAGACATCTATGGTGGCGGCAGGGACATGTTCCCCCCTCGTGGCCGATCGCCACCTCGCCGTAGTCCTCCACGCCGGTAAGTATTCTGTTCTTTTTAGCCATCAACATATGTGAAACAGTGTATATATATGTGTTTATAAATTAATACTCTTTTGTGTATTGCAGTGTTTAAATTTAGGAACAATAAACGCTAGCCATTCTAGTTTTTTCGAAAATTAATCGAAGGATTAAGGTAAATGTTGCGTTCTATCGATGTTATAGTTATTGATTATATAGTCGAATTCATAACTTGCGAATTTTATAATACCTTTTTAACCCTTGACAGCTTGTTGGGAGCCCGAAAGTGATTTGAATATTTTCATGTTCTCTTGTAGCTACCCCGGTCCTCCCCGTGACATGCCCCCCCGACGCTTTTAGATGCGAAGTAGAGGCTGCCAGCGACGTGTGCATGCACCGATAATCAGATCTTGGTGGCAGATGCATTCTGAGTTAAAATTATATAATTAATTCCTATCCAAGGATTAGACGAAGTCTTGATTCATGAATGCGTAACTTCATTGAACAATTGAACAAACCTGATGACTAGTGTTTTTTCATATAAAAAGTCGATATTGTTTAATTTTAAGTGTACTGCGTACCAATAAATCTTATTTTTAAGGAAACCCTCAAATGTTTTTTCAATATTTCCTTGCGATCTGTAATGTGTCACCACCAACTCGAACATAACACCAAGAATTCTGATTAAAAAGCCAAATCAAAAATATGGAGCAGTCCAACGACAGGTATCCAGGTAAGAACCAACATTCACATGAGGCGATCTTTTAGTTGTCATTTGCTTCAGTATCCTTGCCTCATCCGTCTGTAGTTCACTGTAGGACCTAGACATGTCCTGGGCCAGATGCTGTTCGACCTACTACCACCCCTTCTGATCACAAGCACCGTAAGCGACCAGACTTGTGATGGCGATGTGACCGCGTGCTAGAGGCCCGAGGCAGCGCCGGCCGGCAACATCTCTTGCAGGTGGAGCGTGTGAGCATGAACGAGATGTGAATCAGGCGTACCAGAGTACCCGGACTTGCTCTTGGACTCTCATTCGTCTGGCTCACATTCGTCTGTCAGTGCGATTGGCAGGTTAGCTGTTAATGGGCAACTAAGGGAGGCGGTGCCCTAACCAACGTCTGTTGACTCTTGCATGTCCTACCTCACTCATAGGTTATACTCTTAGGATTAAGTACAGTCAATGACTTGAGTATGCTCTTCTGTGAGTACATCATCCTAAGCTTTACACTTAATCCATCGCATCACTTGAGATACCTATCTTTACTGTCTTAAGAGCCACAATGCCATCACTCGACCCCTCTCTGGCAAGATTTACCGACTGCGTACCTGTCTATTTACTTAAGCAAAGCAGTGCCTAGCTTAATGACAGTTTGCGGTGGTAATTTCAACGCCTTTTGATACTTTCATCATGTACTCACTTATATTTATATGCTTGGATTTTGTCTTTTAAGTCGTACCTGTCAAAACTTAAACGTACTACATTAACTTTGAGGAATATAGGATTTTATTTACGCTCCTTTAGTATTGTATCGTACTTTCAAGACACGAATCTTGCTTTTCGATTATCCCTTGATACTAATATTGTCTTAAACGTTCATTAAACTTCCCCCTGCTGTTAAAGAAGCCCATGCAACCCCTAGTTTCGCGATTCTTCGCATCGACTTCATCAGAAAGTTCTTGCGCTAGTTTTCAGCTAAGCATTCCTTATTTAGACTATTGTTCTAGATATTGATATTGATACCTTTTCCCTAGGTACAACTGGGAGTTGGTTGGCCAATGAGGGTTTATCCTTTGTGGATGATTTGAAGCTGTGATGCCACTGATGTGAAGCAACCTTCTTGAGCAGGCAGTTGGACCCAACATTCCAACATGGTATGCATTCCAAGGCTGACTTAACTGGTAAGTCATTCAGTTAGTTTTTTCTACTTTGACAGCTAGCTTTACCTAAATTAATACTTTTTAAGCAAGTATTTTTTTGTCACATTTGTATACATTTTTTTTATCTTTGTAGCATCTTTATGCTGTGAATTGTCTGAATTTCAACAAATGGGCACGAATTAGGGTATGGATTATTTTTGACTAAGTCAAAATGACTTAGTCTAGAAAACTTAAGTCTACAACAAAGTCAGTTTTGTTGTAGGTGGACATCAACCAATTTCCTCCAGAATTGGCACCCTTACCTATAGCCTTTAGTCGGTATGGTGTACAAGTTTCATGCAAATTGCCCGATAAAAAAAAAAAAGTATAATTTTTTGACCATTTTGAGTGTGTTCCTTTCTATTTAGGCTACGATGCTGAAACTTTGACCAGTTGCAGCCCTTGCCATACAACTATTCAAAAAAGTGTGATTGAAATTGAACAACTATGAAATATATTGAAATTTTAAGATTTTTAAGTTATGGCCCCTTAAGAGGAATAAAGTAAAGGAAGAGAACACTTGACAATTCTGCTGTAGAATGTATTAGATGACTGCATCCTGTAAGAGGGAATTTTTTTTGAGACGTAACCATCTTTTGAAATGCAAAGTTACTGCAAGTTCGAAAACTTAAGTGACAAAGTTTGAGACTAGTACATAAAATTCTTGGTGCCACCCAAGAGATGTACTGGTAAATTACAATTTTAGTTGGCATAGTTTGCAAACTTAGGGTGTAGTACCTCTGTTTATCTGCATTTTTTTATATATAAAGTTAAGGTATGCAGATGCAAAAAAATACCAAGACCACTTGCTATAACTTTGCTGAATGTGTTTATGGGGGAGAGCATATGGTCATTATGAACTATTATCACTAATATCGATAAGATGTAAAAATGTAGTCAATAAATGCAATCTTGACATTGTTCCAGTCATTTTATTACTTAAAATACTGGGTGGGGGTATTAGTTTAATTGTAGCAGCTCTAACCAGTTAACTTGCCTATTTTACCATGCTTTACATGTAAGGTTCTCTGTTCAGCCCAGGGTGATGAGTGTATTAATCTTGAAATGTTCAAATAAATTTAAGGTTATTATCGAAGTTAAGAAAATTCGGTAATTAAAAGTAACTCGGTGCTCTTACTTGGATATACAGGATTTCTAACACCAGTTTCTGAAATTTTAAATTGCTCCTTGGGTAGATAAGAATGTTAACTCCCAACTAGTGGTGGAGGCTAACAGTTGTGCTGGATTACCTAGCTGCCCTCTTGTGCATTGGTTGGGGCCCAGTTTCTCTAAGAATGGTCATTCAAATGCTAGCAATCAGCATTGGTTATTCTGTCCCAAGTTGCAACAAGAGACAGGGACATAATGATTGTCAGACATTGTCATCTTAGAATGCCAGAACAGTTAGTTTCTCAGTTGATAAGTTAGACTTGTGGCTGACATTTGTAAGTTCATTGAAGTCCACTTTTTGTTGTGCACTCCCACCCACAGTAGTTAGTAGTTGCCGCTGCCAAATGTACTGCTCCTCTGTGTTTGAAATATGAAAATATGAACATACGCTTGTCATAGAGAAGCATTCTTTGCCTTTTGTTGCAACCCCATCCATACTAAATTAGATGGTTCTTCCACTGCACCTGGTGAGACCCCTCACTTCCTTCTGCCACGTGTACAACATAAATCAGCCTGGAAAAGATCATATAGCCTTCCCTGAAACAGTCTTTGCTTCTGACATGACACTGGGTGAGTAGGCCCTTTGGCCTAGCATCTGTTTCTTATCCGCAGTTTTGGAACTTTGATCTCGATTTCTCTGCTTCCTGCTTGCCTATTGGTCATCCAGCCTGTCCCTCTCAGTACTTGATATTTTAAAGCTATAATCTGCAGTAGACAAAATGAGGGGTATTATGGAAAGGTAGCAGCTTGCAAAAAAAAATTTTTGCATGGGTTATTTCAGTTCAAAAGTGTTAATGGCATTTAATGTCTGTTGTGGCAACTGAGTACATCCTGGACCATCAGAGGTCTGATGCCAGGAGTGTTTGTTTATCCATCCTGTGTTAGTCTTGACCCCATTTGCACTAGTGCTGATTCTTTACTTTTCCTGTCTTGAACCAATGCAAAACTCCTGCCTATAAGTCCCATTCAACACTATCCCTTCTCTTTTGGTATTTGACAGTAACATTCAGAGATTGTTGAAGTAGAGGGAATACAGAGAACACATACGGCACGCATAGATGTAATAAAGTGCCTAAATTATTGGGGTCGTCCCAAAGCTCTCCAAATGTATTAACTAAAAAGGAGACGAGATACGATACCAAATAATATACACATGAAAAATTTGGGCCAGGTCCCAAATTTGCACAGTAAAATAACAATGTACTGGAGCGAACGATATGGAAGAAAATGCAGAATAGAACCAGTGAAGAGCAGAGGTGCCATAGGCATAATCAGAGAACACTGTATAAACATTAGAGGTCCACAGTTGTTCAACGTCCATCCAGCGACTGTAAGAAATATTGCCGGAACAATGGTGGACATAAAGAGGAAACTAGATAGGTAATGAAACCTCAGTCCTTGTTCCAGTAGTCTCCCTTGCCCTCTTTCCTGTCGCCTCTTATCAGTGGTGGGGTAGACTGACAATATGATGTACATTTCTGGCATGCTCAATTTACATCAGTTGCTGCTCTTGCTCTTGATAATGGGTAACTGCTGTTGAATTGATGTTCTTGGCAATAATTTTTTTCTTGGTCTCATTTTTCTCTGCTCTTTACTGCAGTGTGATCTTGCTATTTTCGATCTTCCTGCGATCTTCTTGCAGAGAAGCAGCAGAGGTTCTGATCTCTTGCAGAGATAAGTTTCATCTCTGCACTGGACATTCAAAATATGGAGTTAGTGAGGCATGCTAGTGCAGTTTCAAGCTTTTTTTTATTTAAAGTATATGGCCAATCCTATAACTACAATAGCCAACATATTTTGTATTAATTATAATTATTATACGAATTATAATTGTGTAAGTGAATTCTAGTGAATTGCTTTTCTCTACTTCCAGGTAAGGTTGGGAGTTTGCCATTTCTACTGCTGTACTTCCCAAATAAACGTTCAGATATACCGATTGTTTGCCTTGTACATATTGTTCAGACTGTGTCCTGTACTCAGATTTGTTGTACATAAATTCACACGTTCATGCTTGTACAAAACATGGTCTATATCCTGTATCATCAAAAGTGGGGAGGAAATTCCTTTAGTAATAGTGAAATGTCTTGCAACAAGTCTGAATTGAGCATTGGCAGCTTTTGATAAGAATTCTGATGGAATTATCCACTTCCCTCCTTAGGAAGTGCTGGTGAAATTGTATTATCTAATATCAAGATAGTACAAATAATGAGTGGTTTATATAAAAATATGTAATTAAATTTAAAATACATGTAATTTTATTATTGCACCTGGCACTGAATTATTAGATTATTTCAAGGGCTACTGAAGATGTAAATAATGTAGGTCACAATGTACCTGGGCTATTAATTAAATTAAGTTTAGTTTGTGGTGTGAATTCATAAGGTGATGCTTGTGGGTTCAGTAGGCATTTATGGGTCAAGGTAAATCGCTAGATAGTTCTTTACTTCAAAATACTGCTAAACTGCACTTGTTATATATAAAAAATATTCATTAGTGCACCCTATTGGCTTGTCTTTTGGTTACCGAAATCAATTGCTAGCTTTATATAGAATTTGGTGAACAGCTTTGCTGGTCACTATGTATATAACTAATGACATTAGAAGATTCTCCAGTGGAAGATTCAGATGCACATGATTGGCTCAGAAATCATGATCAGCTAGCTACATAATGTATAAATGGATAAGTATCATTTTAATTATCAAACTAACATCAACATGCCCTATCACTTTGAGTTGAGCCAGGTACTGTAGATCAATTACAGTATTTGCTTATCCTACCAATCTATCCACTAATATTTTATTTCAATTTGATGAGATAGTAATGTCCAAAATATGCAACCCATTCTCCTAAAATTATAGTACTTATTGTAACGGGTCGAATGTATCAATAGTGATGAACCGTCAAAAAGATGACGTTTTGGGCATATGGTGACACTTTAAACTGCAACATACAGAACCTAACCATTGAGCAATCCTAGCATTGTTTCATGTTTGGATTAGCTTTATTTTTTTCTCTACCTGTTTAAAGTACACACACCCAAAAATCCATCTTTACATAGTGGTACTTTATACTAAGTAATTACTATAAATATCAATTTCACGAGGATGGGTTAAATACGAAGTACTGCAGGTCAGAGGCCCGGAAACCTGCCATCTGCTTTTAAGCTGTCGATGAAGTAGGGAAGGGAATTATCTGGGAAAAGCGCCAATCCATTATGACTAGCACTGGGAAGGGGTCAGGATTTGGGAAGGAATGGTGCCCAACCACTTGGACGGTCGAGGATTGAACGCCGACCAGCTTGAAGCGAGCCGTTGATGTTCAATCAATTTAATACACGAGTATGTTTTCTGTATTATAGTCGTCATTGCTTTCCGCTTTTCCCCGATTAAAAAATTGTCCATTATGACTACTAGAACTGTGATCTTGCACTTCTCCAGTGAGTTTTGCTCTAAATTATCACAAAATCACATGTACCGATGCGAAGTTTTCAAAAAAATTTGCTGACCATTAAAATTTATTAAGGTTTGCACCCCCCCCCCCAGTAGAATCTTAAAGGGAGGCCTTCCTACTAATGGGCTTAGCTTCACCCAAATTGACTGTGATGCATATAGGCTGGTCGGCGTCCCTAGAATTCAAAAGGGTACAGATTTACTTAAGTTTAATTGACAATTACATTTTGCCTAATTTGAGGAATTCAATTAGGGCTTGGTGATGATGATGTTGGTATTCAGTTACAAATGACAAATGATCATACACGAGACAATAGGTCTTAAACTCTCGGCTGAAGCGCACGTATACGGTCACAATGATCTACGTTAGACTATACACTTTTCAATATACAAATATGTAAATACATCTTTCTATTGTGCACTGCCACGCAAGGGCAGGGATGAGTTCATAAAGCTTGAAAATATAAATAAGATTCTTTAAAATTGCCAAGCAAATATTTGATAGTGTTAGGATGTCGTCCAGTACAACAGATTAAATGAAATATAGTTACAGTTGGTGGTACAATAGGCCAGGAGGTCTAAAATCTCCGGTTTCACATTCAACAATAGTGTTCTAGTGAATGCATTAAAGGTTTGTCACAGTTCACAAGCTAAATATTCTGGTAGTGACTCAGCCTCAATAACCTGCCAGATGTGCCTGTAGCCAAGACGAAGTCGCGCAATGACCACATCACATTGCCTGGTCCGGTTACTGTGCTGACCATTATTATTATAGATCTACCTATTATTACAAAAGATGTCATAGCTTTTAACACTGCAACTTTCAAGTCTGGGCACTAATAAGATTTTCTAAATCTGAAGTAATTTCTTTAATTTGTATGTTTAATAATTTCATTATAGTCCAGAAGTCATGATTGTTTTTTTTTCTTGCAAGCCTCATTCGCAAATTAATCCAGTCATGTTTTCCAACTCCAACATGGGATTGGGATCCACAAATTTTATACAATAGCTATTATCATTGGCAAACATTACATTCCATTTAATATTACAAGCTACTTCAGACATTGGGATGCGTTATTTAAGGACTGCAGAGCACTTTCACTAAAAAACGCAATATATTGCGAAATCCTGAGATTTGTAGGTCAAATCGCGAGGAAGCTTGAAATATTGGTAAATTCAATCATTTTTACTTTTCACATTTTTAACAATCATTTTTCACAAAGTATCACATTCCACCCCCCCCCCCCATTGAGCTTAAGGTACTCTAGTTAAATAAATACCCAATAACTCGGTCTGTGTCGTGCTTGCCCAGTCGTTCATTGTGTATTAAACGATATTCTTTATATACTGCACATGCAAAACCTGTTCTACCAGTGCCTAATTGCACAGAACCATCAGTAAAGGCATAGGATTCAGTTTGGGATTTTGAAAATGACTCGATAACTTCTAGTGTTATACTTCTCATAGTTTGTGTTATACATTTGTTTTACAGTAATGGGTGTATAATGTATAGACTTGCCCATCTTTCCAAGAAGGTATATAGTGAACGGTTTTATCAGGACTAAAGAGACATTCTGTGTTCTAAAAAAGACACACACAAAGGATTAAAGAGAGACCATTCGGTTTCATAAAATTATTGGCACAACAACTGAGCCACACACTGTAAGGAACTTTTTGCAGCGATTGATTGAAGTCAGAATTGTTTACAATATATCTAAATTTAATTTGAATAGAGCTGGGGGACCATTATTTTTCAAAAATTCGGCACAAAACAGTATTTAGAACTATTTTCTCGTAAATAGAATGTAATCTTAGTTCCTTGCTCATGTTAACAATTACTATCTTGCAAGGAGAGCCACACATCTATGGATCATTCAATCAAATCGGTAGACACCTTGCAGTTGCTGCTGCTTTGCTTATACTGTTAAAAGTATCTGAATTTGTTACTGTGATGTAGACCTGGCCAAGTACCAGTACCCCTGCTCAGTCAAAATGTAATTTATTGACAACTATTCGCACACCCTCTTGTCACTGTGATGGGGTGCGAAAAGATGCCTACATTTAGAAACATTTCTTGAACATTTGTTTTAAGAGCTAAGTAAATGTTTCATTCAAAATGATCTTCCAGAAATTTTAGCCAAATATTTCCAGTTTGCTGGAAACTAGGTAGAAAATGTGGGCGATTTGCAACCTATCCACCACTGGATTTGGGGTAAGGGTGACGGGTGCAGGATAACTTCAATTGACAAGTACGGTCTTTAAGCTAAGCAACTCACCATGTGTAAGTTGCTTAGCTTAAAGACCGTACTTGTCGGTCTCGACCCCATTGTTAACCCAAAACAGCTGCCGAAGAAATGTAAGAAAATTGACTTGAGCAAACGGTGGTAGACGGATGGAACAAGTTTGGTGAGGTGGTGGCGGAGGTCAAAACCGTCAGTAGTTTCAAAGCGTTATATGACGTGACATGAAGGGACACCACGAGCATAGCTCTCATCCTGTAACTACAATAATTGGGTAATTACTCGTTATATTTTGCTTTTCCTTCCATGTACTCGTCTGTCTCTCCATCTATCTACTATTTGTCTGCCTATGTCTTTACCTGTCTTGGTTCTCTTATAAAATATGTAATTGTCTAGTATGTTGGGGTGTTGCCAGTGAGGGAGCTTAGTGGTGTGAAATGCTGAAAAGAGAATACTGTAGTTAGTCCTGATCAAGGACGCTGACTTGAGAACCCTTTGAAGCTGTGGAAGAAGATTTTTTTTTGCCATTCAGGTAAAATTATTGACAGAAGGAAATGTTAATTTTCCAGAGAAAAGTAAATAATGGTGTGTAATGCTAAAGAAAAAAAAAAGACATTCTCAAAAGATTTTGAGAATATTTAGTTTTGTAGCTGGCGGGCAGTGCCAAGTATCGTCGTGGGGAGGTGTGAATACTCACTCAGTTGTGCTTGTGGGGGTTGAACTCTGGCTCTGGGCCTGCCTTCAACTGTCATTCAATCAGGCGATGAGTCACAATAACGCGGCTAAAGTATGTTGACCAGACCACACACTAGAAGATGAAGGGACGACGACGTTTCGGTCCGTCCTGGACCATTCTCAGTCGACTTGAGAATGGTCCAGGACGGACCGAAACGTCGTCGTCGTCCCTTCACCTTCTAGTGTAGTGTGTGGTCTAGTCAAATCAACTGATTTTATTTCCCCCCCCCCCCCTTACACACCGAGGAAGCAGTCCGTAGCAGCTGTTTTAACTCCAACCTGGTTGATACCTGGTTGATGGGGTTCTGGGAGTTCGTCTACTCCCCAAGCCCGGCCCGAGGCCAGGCTCGACTTGTGAGAGTTTGGTCCACCAGGCTGTTGCTTGGAGCGGCCCGCAGGCCCACATACCCACCACAGCCCGGTTGGTCCGGCACTCCTTGGAGGAATAAATCTAGTTTCCTCTTGAAAATGTCCACGGTTGTTCCGGCAATATTTCTTATGCTTGCTGGGAGGACGTTGAACAACCGCGGACCTCTGATGTTTATACAGTGTTCTCTGATTGTGCCTATGGCACCTCTGCTCTTCATTGGTTCTATTCTACATTTTCTTCCATGTCGTTCACTCCAGTACGTTGTTATTTTACTGTGTAGATTTGGTACTTGGCCCTCCAGGTCTTCCAAGGTACCTATTTACTGCTTGGTGAACAGAGGCATCAGGGGTGAAAGAAACTGCTTATCTGTTTCCGCCTCCACCGGGGGATCGAACCCAGAATTTTAGGACTAAGAATCCCGAGTGCTGTTGACTTAGCTGTCGGGCCCCTTATA